CTTGTATTAAAGTATATTTTCAAATCACTTGTTATTGGAGAATTTAGAATCTTTTATTCAATTTATCTTATGAAAAAATTATTAGAATATTTGCTTATGAAAAACAATTGGTTAATTGTAAGAGGTAATTATAAAACCATTGAATCACATTCTTTATAAATTATCATTGTTATTAGATTAGTTTTAGATTTTGATTTTAATTTATTAGATTTTTTTTCTTGAGATTCATAAAAATGTGTTATTATTTAATAAATTTATATTAAATAGATTCTAATTAAATTTGAGTAACTTAAAAAAGTGAGAGTATCATCTCCCTTTACGAGAAATTTGATTTTTGATAATTTAGAAAATTTAGAATTGAATCTACTTAATATCTTAAATAATGATATTTCTTATACACTATTATCATTAATAAGTAATAAGGAAATGATTCCCCAATTAAAAAAAAGTTGATTGTTTTTCTATGAAGTTTGTTAAATATAAATTTTAATAGGTTTTTTTATATTTTAATTAAGAGAGATATTTTTAGATTGCTGACTATCCAAAATTATTATCTTAAATATATGATCAATACCCACATTGACAACTCTTAAATTGAATTTATGTTTTGATATATTAATTTTAGCTGTACCCTCTTAGTTTTTCATCAAGAACTCTTATAATTCTTATCCTTCAAATTTGTATTACTTTAAAAAGTTCCTTATATTACATCCATCACAAAGCTCCTCATCATACATAGGGAATTAAAGTAAATCTTTACCATTAAGAAAATTAAATTATAATAGCCTTTAACAGTAAGTGACTTTGAAGAAAGGAAGTTTAATTAGTTCAGATAATTATTAATCCCACAGATTCTCACAAATTTTTGAAAGGAACTCTTTACGTGCATTTGCATCACAAATATATATAACAATTACAATCATTATAGCAGCACCAATACCCATAAGAATATCTTGAGGATCAACATGTTAGGTTGCTTTTATTGTAATAATGAGTTTAATGATAGTATGACATATGACTTAGACAACACTATCTAAAAAATCTGAGACAAAATAAGCACAGGCTTAAAATTCCATAAAATTATTTCCATAGCTATAATACAATTATGATTTAGTATTTTCAGGGAAGTTTAACTACAATAAGGAGGTTGAAATATTGGCAATCATAAGGGTGTATCTGATGTAAAGAGGCCATTTTACACTTATAATGATCAAAACCACTGCCAAAGTAATCAAAATATAATTTATGTATTGATAGGATAGTTACAACTTGCCTAAATCGATTAGCACTTTTGAAATATTTAGTATCAAACCAAGTGTCATAAATACATAAAATACAGGTTTTCTAAGTCTTCCAATTTTTTCATTTTGATATTGGAGTTCCAATTAAGAGTTAAAGAACTTCAGTGTAAACTTATTCATTATTTAATATTAATCATTTCTCTGTTAATTCTCTATATCCTTTCCAATCACTGGGTTTCTGATAATTTGTTTCCTCCATACTATGTAAAACTGCCTCTGTTGGACCATCATTTGGTTTAAGTTTAAGAGCCTCTTAGAACATAGCACGAGCAGTTTTCCAATCTCCATCCAAATAAGCTTAAAAGGCTTTACGAAATACTTCCTATATTTTTATAATCACTATATTTACCATAAAATCTTTTTTAAATCCAGTCAATATTAATCTAAGATCTTTATTTTCTTATAGATGATCTACAGCTTTAAATTCTCCATTTTCAATTTATTCTTTAATTTCCAATTTCTTTTATCTTAAAATCATTTTCAATTCTTCCTTAGTGAACTCTTTGTATTTCACTGATGGATCATTACTTTAAGGTAAATTATCTACATTCATATCAATAGTATAAAGACTAACAGGGATATTAGATCCTTTAACACAAACTCTATCTATATGTCTAATATATTCTTAGAATTCAGGTGAGAAATGTTCATATAATTATTCAGAAATTAAAATTGGAACACCATATTATTTAGTAGCTGCTTCTAATCTTGATGCCATGTTAACATTAGGACTCAAATATGAAGCATCAATTTTATAATTAGATCCAATAGCTCCTTCAATTCCCCATCCCATATGAAGTCCAAATCCTATCTTGACTTTATAATTATCCATTCTAGCTTGTAATCTTTTATCTTATCTATAAGCTAGTATCTTTGGTTCTCTATTAATTTTGCATTGAATTTTCATAAATGAAATCAAAGCACAATCAGATAAAGTTGATATATATCTAAAATATAATAAATTATTACTATTTATCATGCCAAATTACATTATCTTCTTCAAAAGAATAGGTTTCTGGTCTAGTTTTCCAAACCAATAAAAATGCATCACCAATATTCTTATTTGCTGCACCCATATATCTATCAACCATTGTATGTACTATGTCTCCTATGTTATTAACAAACACCATGACATCTTCTTAAAGAACTTCAGTTGCATCTGTGAAATTTCTGATATCACAAAATCCATAAATAGCTACTTTTTTGATTCCAGGTAACATTGGATCTACATCTCCTTACTTTTTCATATTTATTCTAATAATTTCAGTACCAGCATCACCAAATCCTAATGCTAATAATGTTCCAATTTTAACAATTGTGTTTTCAATTTTAACTGTTTCATTAGAATTTTCATTTTATATAACAGCCATTTCTGTAACAATTTAAGGATCATTAGCTATTTTATTAATTTTATCAATCATTCTTTCTAAAGGTCTCAATGCTAAATCATTTGAATCTTTTGAAAACATCATAGCTCCAAATGTTAAGACTATACTCACAAATATAGTTCTAATAATTGATAAGATACTTGTCATCATAGCTGCTTATCTTGTACTCAATATACCAACAACATCAGGATTTTCCTTACTAAAAGAATATAATTTAAATTAATATACTCAAAATTTAAAATTGCATCATTAGGTAGATTAGTAGTTTTTATAAGAGTTTCATAATCTAAAGTATATGCTCCAACATCTTATTCATCAGTTCTTAAATTTGGATAGTCATCATGTTCATAAATTGGGAAATCCTTATAATTATAAAGTGGACTAGTGAATAAAACAATATAATTGTCAATGCCACTATGATCAATGATAATTTAATTATATGCATTTTTTACATCATCATATGTTGATGATTCTGATTCAGCAAGTTTTACAAATTATTAAGCCTACATCAACATACTTGTTGGTGGTGACACAAAATAATCTACAGAAAACAATGGAATTAAAAATAATAATGCTAAGACCACTATGATAACCTTTTTAGTAGTTGAATCTGATAACATTTTTGAAACTTTTGATTCTTTAGTTTCTCCTTCCTCACTTTATGCAGGAATGTTTTATTCAACTCTGTCTTGTAATTATGGTTCTACTGCAGTAACTTTTCTTTTCTATCTTCTTTGGGCTATTAATTTAGAAACTTTATCTTCATCATCTTTATTTGCTGATTTATAGACTTTCACCAATCTAATCAATCTCACCAATCTAACTACTCTACCTGCTTTAGTTCCCACTCTTGATGCTCTACCTGCTCTTGCCAGTCCTGCTGTATTTTTAGCTTAACCTCCTGCTCCACTCAATCCAACAGCTTAATTAAAAAGACTAATATCAAGCAATAAAGAAATTGTTGAAATTGTGTCAAGCCAGAAGAAGAAGGACAGAAAGTATCCCTCTTTAACTATTACTGACAGTATGATTTCTGTTGAAAACATTATCTAAATTCATTAATAAAACTGTGCTTACCAAACATGTGATGTTTAAGGCATCAAAAACTATGTCTGCGCTTAACCGAAAAGCAGCTACTCTTATATCATCTCCAAAAAGAGCATAAAGAGTCAGAATGTTAATTATTACTTAAAATACTGTACTCTCCAAAACTATTTCAAAAATAGATGCACGATGAGAACTATACTTATAAACATAAAAATTATACTTCTTTTCAATAGTTTGTTGAAAGATGTCCACATCTGCTGGTGCTTATGGCTGATCAGTCATATTTAATTTTATATTTAATAATAACTTTAATATTCACATCCTTTTCACCTTATCTAATTAATTCCTCACTTGACACCAATTCATATATATGCATAATATTATAATTCTTAATGTTCATTTGATATATAAAACTTTAATTCCTATCTATATTCAAATATAAATAACCAAATTAAACATAAATTTTGTTATATTTCTTTAGTTATAACACAGAAATCTAATACTCATAAAAACTATAATAAACTATATATTTTTAAAAGATATCATAATAATATATCAATATTAATTAATTGAAAAGTGTATATGCAATTAAATTAATAATTATATTGATAATAATATCACATTATTAATTTATTAAAATAGTATTTTCTATATCTAAATAAATAATGAATAAATATATTAATTTCTATAAAATTTCAAATTATTGTGAGATAAAAGATGATTTTTTATTGATTTTCATTTCATTAAAAATTAAAAGCTATTATAATAATTTTGTAATGAAACTTATTTGTACAATAATTATTTCATATTTTTTTTTAATTAATTAGGAATGTTAAAATAATATATATTATAATTATCACATTTTGAAATTATTCTTAATTATTAGAATAATGATGATGCAATCAATCTTTTTAATTTAATATAATTATTTAAGAATAAAACTAAATTACAGAATCAAGAGAATAGATTATCAATATAATTATCAGGTTATTTAGAATATATTTTACTAAATAACTGAAAAAAACATAAAATTATTTATTACATAAAAAAAATATTAATTATAATTAAAATTCTTAGAATATACCTAAGAAACATAGAAAGGTAACAAATTTTACAATTATATCTAAAATAAAGAATTTAATAAAGCTAAAATTTTAATTTATATTACTTTATAGTTAGTAAAATTGACATAAAATTCTTTATAAATATTTTTCTTATTAAAATGTTATAATGTATATGAGATTAATTTTTGGATTGATATGAATCAATTTTTAATTTTTTATTTGATTGATATTTGACTATGACATCTACTTTTAATATTTTTTTTGTTGTCAATTTTCGAGGAATTAGCGAGACTAAACTGTTTTCTATCCGATGCTTTTGTATGTTGATATGATAGACTCAATAAATAATCGAATATAGAACTACATTTTTAGATAGGACTAGTTTTCTATTTTGTTAATTTTTTGAAGTTTAACATACTATTCAAGACTAAGATATTTTATGTTTAAAATACCTTATTTATTTTCTACAATACCAGTTTAGCATCTCTTATGGGTTGGCTTTTTATTTGAGGTATTTTTGAGTTAGGTACTTGATTTAAGAACATTTTATTTATTAACATTAATGATAGATTGTTTTAATTTTTAAGTTTGATTTTTTGACTTTTCTTTTCTAATTGGTGATGTATTTTTAGTGAATAAATCAATAGCATTCATGGATCTACGACGTTAGAAGATTTGTGGTTCAATAATAAGTTAACTCTAAAGTGTTGAAAAGTTGATATTAAAATAAAATTTTACTTCATTCAATTAAAATTGATGTTGACTTCTATCAGTCAGTAAACTCAATTCATGAGATTCAATTAAAAGATTCGAGAAGTCATAACTAAATGTTTTCTTTTAACATTTTGAACATTGAATCCAATATTTGTTTTATAATTGGCTTTTTGATACATATATGATAAACAAATACCTTTATTATAATTACTTATTTTTATTTGTGCATTTGAGACAGATATGATGAGAGCAAATCAACTAAATTAAAGCTGTATTTTTTAAACAAAGTTGACATGTTTACATTTATTTGTAATAATTTCTTTTTATAAATACATAAATGATTATTTGTAATGTACTTAAATTATAAACTCATTTCTTAGCTGGAGCTTTCTTTTAAGTTTATGGCTTATCTGCAGCAGCAGCAGCGGCAGCAGCCTTTTAGGCAGCTACAACTTAGGCATTAACAGTGAAGATATATTATTTAGAGTTTTAATCACCGGCTGGAACCAATAAACCTGATTTTGCAAAATGTCTTATGCATCTTCTGGCTAAAGAACTATAATTATAATTATAAAAGCAATATTTTACCCATTTACTTTGAATTTATCTGATACTGTTGAGACTGTGATCAATGATCCCATTTTTGGTAATTAAGTCTCAATTTATTTGTAGGATGATTAATCTAAATATACGGCATTGTTCAACTTATCCTTTGCTCTTCCTTTGGTCCATTTCTATTATGCATAATCAAATTAGATGTAATACCTTCTTTGTTTATTTACTTCTTTGTGATGCAGCTTTAGCAATCTAATCCTTTGTTTTCTTTTAACCTTATGTTGGTTGTTTTCCCTATATTATATAAAGACATGTATTACCATGATTTCAAATCTTTAATAAAATTTTTGAAAAAAATTTAATACCAATTAATGCAGCAATAAGTCACCACAGTTCACACAGATAAATTCAAAGCCATTGGTCCCTATTCAGCTGGTAAAATTGTTGCTCCAACTGCCAATCTAGTCTATTTATCAGGTTAATTGGGTATTGTCCCTGAAGTAATTACTTATAATCTATATATATATAATAGACAGGAAATCTCATTTCTGAAGATGTAGCAGAATAAGCTACTTAGGCAATGAAGAATGTGGGAATCTTATTAGAAGCAGCAAAATCTAGCTTTAAGAATATTGTCAAATGCATTGTTTATCTTGTTGATATGGCTGACTTTGCAAAAGTGAATGAGTCTTATGCTAAATTCTTTGAAGGTGATTATCCAGCTAGAGTTTGTATTGCAGTCAAATAATTACCAAAAGGTGGTTTAGTAGAAGTTGAAGTCATTGCAGTTCAAGATACTGAATAATGAAGTATATATTGCATAAAAAATTGTATAAAAACATTATGAATTATTTTTATAAACTTATTTATATCTTCTTTATTAAGTAAATCTTAGAATATTGAATTATTATAAAATATTAGTAAATTGAACATCAATAGAAAGACACAAATATAAATTTTCAATTCCTCAAGATTCATTAAATAATTAAATTTCATGATGCTATTTATAATAATATAATAAATAAATGATGAAAGGAAGTTAGTAAAATGTTCTACTGAAAGAGTTGAAAGAAATACCTATATATTCAGATAATTGGTTTTGGAAACTAAGAATGAGAAATTAAGCCTTGCTACAATTTTCTATTATTTTTATCGTGATGCTTGGACTAGTTTTAGGAATTTATTCAGTCAACATGGCGATAATTGTTCCTCTTTTAGAATAATCATCTTTTGATATATATAATAATAATGCAAAACATACATTATAAAGTCATTTGAGAAGCTATGATGGTATTCTTGATGGGATATTTAATATAAGTAATAATTTAAAAATAGTTTAGATATCCACTAATTACAAATACTTCATTAAATTTATTCATAATCTTATAGGAACCTTGAAAAACAAGATAAAATTACTTTAGATTATAGAGCTCATATGAATTATGCAGGTACAAATTAAATGCCTTAAATACTTGTAAATTAACCACCTGGTTCATTGTAAAAAACGCATTCATTTATGTGCTATACGAATAAAACTAACATAACTTATCCAATGAACAAGGTTACCTTAATAAATTTAAAGATTTAAGAAATTATGTATCCTATAGGTCATATATTGGATGCTAATAAATTAAATATCAAATCATTATTTTATGTAGGAACTTTGGAGGAACCTTAAGTTTATTTTTCATATCCTTGCACTAATTTTAAAAATGCTATATATGGATTAAATATTCCAAAGAGACCTTGGTTTTTAAAAGGTGTCAGTGTGTATAATCAATCAAATTTTCGTGATTATGATTATTAATTTACCGATCCCTTTCTTTGTAACTTTTAATTAGTTATAATTATAGAATTTACCAAAGACAAAATTGAAGTTACATTAGTCATGCCCTTGCTTGATTAAAATCTTAATTTAAAGGGAGTGATGGCATCAGATTTGGGGACAGATTTAAATAAATTTGTAGTTAAAACTGATCAAAATGTACATATGGTTCTATTGGCAAATACTAAGGGTTTACTTATATATCACAGTTACAATGTTAGTCTATCATTACTTCCTATATATATCTTCAATACATCACTTACAGGATTTACATTAGATGACTGGACTTCGATAAAAGAGACAAAATAAAGCAATTGTTCTTCATATCCAAAGAACTCTAGTTTGCTTTGTCGTTACAATAGTGTATATGATAAGGATTTAGTGATTACAATTCATGAAATAAAGAAATTTAATTATCTTTTTATGATGTAAGTAATTTATCATGAATTAAGATTCCATGATACAACAGATTATACTAATTATTAACTTAAATTGACATAATAGATGTTGAATAAACTTTAATCAGAAGCAATTCAATTTCTAGAAATTGCCCTTGGAATTTTTTTGGCAGCCATGTTAATAGCCATTTGCATTCTCATCTTAATCTTTTATCCTATCTAAAATATTATTGATAATTGTCATTATATTATGGGAATCAAGAATAAATAAAATGTGCACAAAAAGATTTTGCTAACAAAATTCTTTATGCCTTTTTTAAATCCTTAATTATAATTATTATTTCTAGCTTATACAAATTTAGTTAAAAGGTTTTTATCTTTATCACATACAAAAGGGAATCTGTGCAAAACATTGGAAGCATTATAATATCCAAAAAAGATCAAATAAAGAGCTCACCTTTAATTAAATCGATATTTGAAGAAAAGTATGAACTTAATAGAATAAAACAAAATGATTCTATAAGTTTCAACCCATATTCCCTCTTAATTGATGGGAAGATTCTTTGATAATATAAAAAAGAAATTTTACTAATGATAATAATTATATGATATTTTTCATGAAGAAGGTGCTGGTTATTCTTCAATCAATGGTTGATATTGATCCAATTATTATTATTGTTATTATTATTATTATTGTACTTACTATTATTACTAATCACCACCTAAATAAGTATTAACAACTTCAGTTCCATATTTCTTTTAAACTATTTATTTTGTTCCATTTCCAATAGAACTTCCCACCTAACATAAGGCTGTACCTAATCCAGAGAGAGCTGTTCCTGCTGCATCCCAAGTAGCTGATGTCAATTATTTACTCTACTTTAAAACTAAGAATATTATTTCTATTATATTTACTTTAGCTATCTGAATTATCTATTTTATGTCCTAATTCATTTGTTAACTCTTTAGTCTTTTCTGCCACTGGCTTAAATAGTTATCCAAGATATTATCCTGTTACATCAAAGACTTCACTGACTTTTTCTTTGGTAGCCTAAAATTTAGTCTTTGTATTTGGATCAACTTAAACTTCTTAACCTGGCTGAATTTTATCATTCAAATATTGACTTCCTTTGTTTATTCCTGTTGCCATCATTGTTCCCAAAAACATGAATCCTTTCTTAAGATAGCTAAAAGAATAAAATTATTATATATACTCTCCACCCTTTGCAATATAGGAAGCAGCATCATTAGGATTATCTAAAGTGTTAGTAGCAATGTCTTTGCAATGTAGTTCTATGGTGTCTTTAAATTGTTGTATTTAAATGGCCTAATCAAATGGGACCATAGAAACTACAGTATTTAAGGCTGTTTGGAATACATTTAATAAGTCACTTTGTGGAATAAAGATTCCATTTAAACCTAAAACATATTGTGTTTTTCATCTATTACCTTAGTCTATATGAGGGAAAATAAGTGTTAAGCCAGATTCAGATTATATGTATACAAAAGGAGTACCAGGAACAATATTCTGACAGAAACTCACAATAGTAATGAAATGTGTTTTTGAATCTTAAAATTGGGCTAACTTTACTGTTCCTTAGAAAACCTTGGTTCTGGAATTTTGTATCAATCTAAAGAATTGTGCATTCTCTGCTATTGAAACAACTTAAGCCATTTCTCTTGGTTGTTCTTATTACATTTTTAATATTTTAAATAATAGATACGTGTAAAATGAGAATTATAGCAATGTACCTACTGAAATACCATCCTGAAAATCCTATTTTTATATCTTAAAACTATGAGCTTTCATTTGTGAAGTACAATTTTTGAATTAATATATATTTTAGTTGGTTTTAGCGTCCTTTCTTTAAAGAAACTCTCAATTTTGGTGCTAGAACTTGTGCAGCGTATTCTATATAGTATAAAATATTAGACGAGCTAAACCTGGTACTAGAAATGCTATCACTAATTAAGAGGCTCATGCTGTTTCATATATATGCATTGATAAAAATAATTTAGTTGCTTTAGTTATTGCAGATGATTAATATCCAGAAAAAGTTGCTTTTATGGTTATACAAAATATGTATTAAGAATACTATCGTCAATATAATTCAATGTTTTTAGACACAATAAATGGTATTCATTATATTTCAACATTTTAAAGCTGATCAAAACATTAATATACCAAAATTTGAAGAATTCATAAAACTTTATTAAGATCCTAAAGAAGTTGATAAATTACTTAAAATTGAGAATACTCTTAATGAAGTTACTATGATAGTGCATTAATCTCTTGATGATGTAGGTCTCTTCTATATGATTAGCTTTTAAAAAGAGGAGAGACTTTGGAATCTTTAATGGCCAAATCAAAAGACATGAGTAGTGTAAGTTTAGATTTCTATAAAAATGCCAAAAAAACAAATAATAAATGTTGCAGCTTGTATTGAATAAACCTTATTAGAATATATATATATATTGATATTTATCTATATTATATTTATGAATCTCATAATGATGCTGCCTTTGTAGCCATCTCCTTTGCTTTTGCTTCATTATTGCCCAAAAAGTCACTAACTTTTTCACCTTTATGGAATAAATAAACAGCTGGAATTCCTTTACTCTAAATACTTATTAAAATCTCATACAGCATATTATGATGAAATCTTTTATAACTCTTCAATATCAACATTTACTACTGCTAATTCCCATTTTCCTTAACTTTATTCATGGAGATTGTGGAGTTTAGGTTTTAAAACCTTACATGGACCACACCTATGAAAATAAATAAATTTAAAAACCAATCTGCATAGAAATCAACAATGACTGGTTTTTGATTTTGAAGAACAAGTTGTTTCCAATCATTTTCTGTCTTTATAGTTAATATATGGCCTTGCATTAATTTAAATTAAAAATTAAATATCTCAAGCCTTATTTATAATTTGTATTTCAAGTCACTCAACTAATTAAAACTTACGTATCTCGGACAATTTTAATTAAAAATATTTATAATCTCATTATCCACAAATTTCTTAATTCTCATTATCCGTTACAAATATTTTGAATAGATCTGAGATCTAAAAAATAGAAATTAATCTTTATTCATTATCTAAACAAACTAAACTTCCTCTTGGAGATAATAATAGATTTTCAACAACCTATAAAATTTAATAATTTTATTTACTTGTTTTATTGTTTAATTAAATGTGAATTACTATTTATTTCTAATGTAATATGCCAAATATTTAGAATCTTCAGTTTTAATTAATGACAAAAATTTTTCTGCAGTAGAAGCTAACTAATTAATAAGATTTATAAAAATTACTATATCAAACATCTAATATTTTATAATAAATAAGAAATCTCTTCTATCAATTAACCCCAAATATTTATTGTTTTTATCTACTATGGCAATAGTATTTCTTTTGTAAATATAAATTAATTTATAGAATAGACTAAGAATAAATTCAAAAAAGATACTCATAAACAGGAATATCTGCTGGAAGAGAATATTTTAATTTCTAAGCTTCTTCCTTAAAATATTCCATTTACAATTCATGTTATTCATGATTAGTCGTAGTTGTTTTATTTTACTGTTTCTTTAAAGCAAAATATTAATTAAATCCCTTAACTAGAAAACTAAGAATATCTTTCTATTAAATAATTCCTGCCACCATTTTAGATTCTTTTTCTATGACTATGATTCTTGTAATATTTTCTGTAATAAATTTTTAGCAGACATCATTCAAATTTTCATCTAATTCTGCTTTTATTAAACAATTCTAATGCAAATTTTCTCCAACACTATTAAACCAAGCCTTGATTGAAATATTCTTAAAATCTTATAATAATTAATTGAACTAATCTATTGTTAATCTCCCATATATAGTTCTTTTTATTGGTGAATAAGATTCATCTTCATTTTCCATTTCAATAATGGCTGCTATATTGTTTGTCGCCCAAACTATCTAAAAATAGATTTATATTAAATTACTATTTGGAATTTCATAGAGAACATTGTAATAACATTTTAACACAGTTTTGATGAGATCTGTCTATGTAAATACTCCATCATAATTAGCAATCTCTTGATTCCAAAACAAAACCTCGTCAACATGAGAATCAATAAATATCTTAAAAGTATCAAAAAGAGACAATGTCATATCCACAACAGAAACTTGATTATTTATAGATAAACAATCATAAACACTACTATCACGCAAGAAGTAAGTTAAAGTTGTTACATATTCTTCTTTTAATAAATCTTCTTTGCTAGGTGGACTACGTTTCATTAAAATAAATATATTATTATAATCAATATTAAAATTATATATATATATAATATTTACATATTATGAGTAAATCAATATCTTAGTTTAATAGATTATTATAATTATTACTTAATATAAGGATTATTATAATCCAAATAGTATAATCACATGTTTATTATTAAGTTTTATAATCATTTTGAGAAAAATTAAAGTTACAAGGAATAAACTATGGATTATTATTTTATTAGAATGACTAAGTCTAATTTTATAAATTAAATCACTTTAATGAGTAATTCAATCAAAAGAATGTTCAAAATATATGGATATTATTATTTGCAAATAAAGAATTTATAATATTTTATTTATGATTTTGATGAATGACGTTTTGTTGTTTACTAAATGTACAATTTTTAGTAGTAGTTGGGTACCATCTCTGCTTTAAAAGATCTTTATTGATCTTATTTTGTTATAAACAGCTATGTTGTATAATTTGATTCAAAAATAGGATCAAGAAGATTCTGGCGTTTTCTATATGAAATAATAAAATGAACTAGATGTTAGATGTTGATTATTTTAGATATCTTCTTAGTAAATACAAGTAATTCAATTTTAGAAAGTAAATGAATTTATATTATATTATAATATGATTTTTTAAAAGCATATGAATTAAAAAAATTAAAGGATTTACTTAAATTTTATGTTATCAAATTATGAGTGTAATAATAAAAAATGAATCAAAAATTATTTGTTAAATAATAAATTTTTGATGTATTTTTTGTTATTGTTGTTATTTGAAGTTTATTAATGGGGGAATATTGAAATTTCATATTATATTTTAGGTCAAATTTTGATAATTTAAGAAAGGAATGATAATTAATTTTACGTTTTTTTGAATGAAACTCATTATAGTTTTGAAAAATTCTCTATAATTTTGAGGATTAATAAGATGAATCAAAATATTTATTAATTTATCTATATTAATATATAATTTTAAAGATAACAAATAATTATTTAAATATCAATAATGACTGTTATTTGTTGTTTACATATAAAATTTGTTATCTTATTTAAATTATCAAATAAAAGACTTTATCAATTATATTTAAATCATTTTAGATCTGAAATTATCTAATTTAAAATAAATAACATTAAAATGGGTGTTTGTCAAACTAAAGTAAAATAAAATCCAGCAGGTCTGAAACATAAAACCAATAGATAAGGTGAAAGAGTTAAGACTGAATTTTCTGCAACATAAGAAACTGGTTCAAAACATCCAGGACTTTTGTAAATAAATAGTCTAGAAGAAATCAATTCACCTAAATCAGGTGGATATCTTTTACCAAGACGCTAATAAACCAAAGCAGGACTAATGAAATTAACAGGATTAATCTCAAATTCTCCATTACCTGGTCAAATTTAGATAATTGAAATGAGTGCATCTAAGAAATATTCATTAATTAAGAAACGTCAAATGAATGATGTAAAATAAATTGTGATTTAATAGATGAAATAAGTATTGTCCAATAATAAGACTGGAATAATAGTAGAAATGGAAACTTTTTTAAAAGAAGAGCCTGAGACATTAGAATACATAAATTGGATATTAAAAGCATAATTAGTATAAATAAATAATTAATAACATAGGAACANTACCATCTCTGCTTTAAAAGATCTTTATTGATCTTATTTTGTTATAAACAGCTATGTTGTATAATTTGATTCAAAAATAGGATCAAGAAGATTCTGGCGTTTTCTATATGAAATAATAAAATGAACTAGATGTTAGATGTTGATTATTTTAGATATCTTCTTAGTAAATACAAGTAATTCAATTTTAGAAAGTAAATGAATTTATATTATATTATAATATGATTTTTTAAAAGCATATGAATTAAAAAAATTAAAGGATTTACTTAAATTTTATGTTATCAAATTATGAGTGTAATAATAAAAAATGAATCAAAAATTATTTGTTAAATAATAAATTTTTGATGTATTTTTTGTTATTGTTGTTATTTGAAGTTTATTAATGGGGGAATATTGAAATTTCATATTATATTTTAGGTCAAATTTTGATAATTTAAGAAAGGAATGATAATTAATTTTACGTTTTTTTGAATGAAACTCATTATAGTTTTGAAAAATTCTCTATAATTTTGAGGATTAATAAGATGAATCAAAATATTTATTAATTTATCTATATTAATATATAATTTTAAAGATAACAAATAATTATTTAAATATCAATAATGACTGTTATTTGTTGTTTACATATAAAATTTGTTATCTTATTTAAATTATCAAATAAAAGACTTTATCAATTATATTTAAATCATTTTAGATCTGAAATTATCTAATTTAAAATAAATAACATTAAAATGGGTGTTTGTCAAACTAAAGTAAAATAAAATCCAGCAGGTCTGAAACATAAAACCAATAGATAAGGTGAAAGAGTTAAGACTGAATTTTCTGCAACATAAGAAACTGGTTCAAAACATCCAGGACTTTTGTAAATAAATAGTCTAGAAGAAATCAATTCACCTAAATCAGGTGGATATCTTTTACCAAGACGCTAATAAACCAAAGCAGGACTAATGAAATTAACAGGATTAATCTCAAATTCTCCATTACCTGGTCAAATTTAGATAATTGAAATGAGTGCATCTAAGAAATATTCATTAATTAAGAAACGTCAAATGAATGATGTAAAATAAATTGTGATTTAATAGATGAAATAAGTATTGTCCAATAATAAGACTGGAATAATAGTAGAAATGGAAACTTTTTTAAAAGAAGAGCCTGAGACATTAGAATACATAAATTGGATATTAAAAGCATAATTAGTATAAATAAATAATTAATAACATAGGAACATCCAAATCTCAATCGTATACTTGAAATTTATAAAGAATAAAATGCCTATTAAGTTATTTATGAATTTTTTGATGGAAAATCATTGACAGAACTTGTATCTGAAGAAAGTAGGCTATCCACAAATAATATAAGTTAAATTATATCATAGATAATATCTATTATTTCTTATTTACATTCTCTAAATTTAGTACATGGAAATTTGACTCTCGATTCATTTTAATTTAAGAAAACAAAAAATGAAATTGTAATTAAATTAATAGATATTAAAAAACTTAAAATTAAAGACTCTGAATCTATAGATATATTAAAATTTACATCTCCAGAATGCTTGCATCACCCTTATAATTATACTACAGCTAGAGATGTTTGGGCTATAGGAATTATTTGTTATGCTCTTACTTATGGTAATTTACCCTATACATTTCCTCCTAATATCGATTACTCTTAAACTTTATTAATAATTAAACATACAACAATATAATTTGATGATCCTAATTAGTTATTAACAAAATTTATTAAGAAAATGTTAGTAATACATTCAAAGAACAGAATTACTTTGAATTAATTATAAAAAGATGAATTCTTAATAGAAAATACTGTTAAACAACTACTTCCACAAGAAATTATATTAAATAATACAAAAACTGCAAAACCTTGTTGTGTATTATAAGAGATGATACTTTGTTATTTTTTATAAGAATTTAATTGGGAAGAATATATTTAAATATAAAAATTATTTTCAGAAGGAGATTAAGATATGGATGGTTATTTAAGTAAATAAGAATTATCAAATTTGTATAAATAATATCTTAATGAACCTAATTCAGAAGAATTGACTGAGAAAATCTTTTTAAATTATGGTATCAATAAAGAAAATGGATTAAATTGCCAATAATTTCAATCTATGGCTGCTAGCAGAGATTTATTATTATCTTAGAGTAATATTGAGATAGGTTTTTCAATCTTCTCAAATGGTAAAAAGGAAATCAATCTTAGAGGATTAAGAAGACATTTAAATTCAGATTCAGAAGAATTGATTGATGAATTCAATCGTATAACTAATGAAGAAAAGATTGTATAAATTGAATATTATTTTAGTTAAATCTCAAATAATTTTATAAGCTAGTTAGATTACTTATTTGAATTATAAATTAATATATATATTCATTATAATAATTAATCTTTATATAATTAAATCTTGACTTTTGATTTGATCAAGTTTCATAAAAATACATTTGATAAATTAAATATAAATCTGATTTTAAAATGAATATTTGATAATATAAAATCTTCGTACCTCAACTATTTAGGTGTAATAATTTATTATAATTATGGGTGTTTGTCAAACAAAAGTTAGAAATTCAAAGAAATAAAATACATAGACTTCTTAAACTCTAATCAGAATAAAGACTGAAGTTACTGAGATTTCTGACAACATGCCTAGAAGAAGAATGAATCTTTAAATAGATCCAACCAAAAATAATGATAATAATAGGACATCTCCTCTTTCTGAAGGCATAATATTCACTTAAAGAGCAAAAAGAAGAATTACTTTAAAGAAATAAGGTTCAAATAATTATACTGCTACAACAAGCAGTTCAAATCATATTCTTTTACCTGGATGTGCATTCAAAAAATATTCACTGATCAGAAAAAAGCAAGGAAATCATGTAAATATCTTATGTTATATATAGTCTATATCCATAATCTCAAACAATAAGACAGGTAAAATCATGTAATTAGAAACATTTCGAAAAGATGATCCAGAGTGTTCAAATTACATAGAATGGCTTATGAGAAACAAGATAGTATTTATTTTATTCATAATTTAGGATCACCCAAACATTATAAGAGTATAAGAAATCTTTTAAGATAATAAATATTATTAAGTTGTTTCTGAACATTTTGAGGATAACGATTTATCTGATTTAATGGCTGATGGCACAAAACTATCTAAGTCTTAGGTATCATAAGTCTTAAATCAAATGATGCAAGCAATTCATTACTTGCATTAACAATAAATTTATCATGGTGCTATAACAATTAATTCTTTTTCTTATTAAAAGAAATTAGATGGAATTATTGTCAAATTATCACACTTAAAGAGTGTAGTAATTAAAGTAGAAGATGATATAGAAGTACTTAAATATACTTCTCCTGAATGTATTTATCATCCTGCTTAGAATGAAGCAAGAGATGTATGGGCTATTGCATTAATAGGATTGACATTAAAAAAAGGGGGTCTTCCTTATGAAATACCTCATCATGTAACATAAGAAAAATTAAGGATGTTAGTTAAAAATAACATATTTAAATTTGAACATAAAAAGGATCTAGCATTTAAAGAATTTCTTTCTCATTCTTTGAATAAGAATCCATTAAAAAGATTTAATATAGAATAATTATTAAACTTACCATTCATAACTAATTATTAATAAAAATAGAAAACTGAATAAGAGATCTTACTTAATAATCTTTTAGAAGCAAAACCTTGTTGTCTTTTATAATAATTAATTATTGGTTTCTTTGTATAAGAATTTAATTGGGAAGAATATTTATAGATTTAAAAATTATTTTTAGAAGGAGATGTAGATATGGATGGATTGATGACTAAGACAGAAATTATTTAATTATTTAATAAATATATGAAAATTTAGAATATTGAAGAGAAAATAGATAATTTATATTAAGAACTTGAATTAGAAGATGAGATTAATTCAAATTTATTTTTAGCTCTTACAGCAACAAGAAAAGATGTATTATCAACATCAAATATTGAGATTTGTTTTGAGATATTTTCTCTTAATTCTTCAGAAATAACTCTAAAAGGATTGAAAAAATATCTAAATTCTGATATAGATGAGATCACAAATGAACTATCTCGTTTAACAGAAAATTAAAACTCAGTATTATTTAATTTTATTTTAGTTAAATTACCAACAGTTTTCTAAAATCTTAGAATTGATGATCTGATATTTAATCTCATGATTTTTAATATATAATATTTATAATCTTATTAGAAAATAATTAAATTAATCAAAAAAATATATAAAACTTTTTTTTAGAATTTTTTATATTTTTTTTTGTACAAATAAACGTTTTCCTCAGTTTATAATAATTTATATGTAATACTCTTACATCTATTTATAATTGACTTTTTTCATTAGATTAAGGCTTGCCAATATAAATTCTTCTTGTTTTAATAAATTTAGTAATATTATTAAAAAATGGGAGTTTGCTAAGCAAAAAAGTAAAATTAAAAACTTGCCTCACCTCCAATAACTTAAATAGAAACAAATTTAAAAACAGAAATATTAGGAGCATAAAATGTTTTATCAAGAAGATCTAACATTTCTCCATAAGAAAAGAAAATCTTTTGTGATTCTATTTTTTCACCAAATACAGATGGAAATATAGTTATATCTAGATAAAGAAATCCAATTTCAGTGTTAAAAATCTAAAATAATATTTCTGGATTACATACTTGTACAGCTAGCCCAATTCTTGAAACCACAAGTGCTTCAAAAAAATATACTATAATTGGTTAACATTCTTCAAATTATGTATTTTATTAGTCATATGCTTTTAGTAAATTTCTATTTTGTAAAATAATAAGACAGGAAAATTAGTGCAAATGGAAAATTTTTAGAAGTTTAATCCTGATAATGAGAAATATATTTCATGGTTATAAAAAGTTGTTTTAGTAAATTATTTTAATAATTATAGGATCATCCTAATATACTTAGGATTATTGAAATATTTCAAGACAGAATCAATTATTAAGTTGTATCTGAACATTTTCATGGAAATTGTTTATCAGATTTAATTATAGGATAGGCAAAAGTTTCAAAAAGTTTAGTATCCTAAATTTATGAATAAATTATATCTGCTATGCAATATCTCCATTCAAGAAATATTGTTCACGGAAATTTAACACTAAAATCTTTTTAATATATTTAAAGTAGTAATGGAGGAGTGATAGTAAAATTAGTAAATTTGAAAGGAATCATTTTAAGAGAAGAAGATAATCTAGAAATTATTAAATTATTACCTCCAGAATGTTTATATCATCAGAATCTCTTTACTAAAGAAAGAGATATTTGGACAGTAGGATTAATTGGCTATACTTTAAAAAAAGGTTAGTTGCCTTATAACTTCTCTTCTAATCATACATAATAATTTTTGATTACCATAATTAAAGATCACAAATTCAATTTCTCAAAAAAGAAGGATTTAGTTTTTAAGAATTTTTTAGAATCTACATTAGCAAAAGATCCTCACCATCGTGTAGATTTTGAAACTCTATTAAAACATCAATTTATAAAAAATCATAGAATTAAGAAAATTACTCAATAAGAAATTCTACTTACTAATTTTATCACAAATAAACCTTGTTGTACAATTCAATAATTATTGTTGGGATATTTTGGATAGGAATTTAATTGGGAAGAATATATAGCTATATAAAAATTATTTTCAGAAGGAGATTAAGATATGGATGGATTATTAAGTAAATAAGAGTTAATTAAACTCTTTTCTCATTATAAAAAAATAGAAGAAATAGATAATAAAATATAAGAAATATTTTAATAATTAGAAGTAAACACTGAAAATGGAGGAATAGATTCTACATAATTCATGTCCTTAGCCTTAACTAGATCTACTTTAATAACCTAATAAAACATTGAAACTTGCTTTTAAATCTTTTCTTATAATAAATAAGAAATCTAACTAAAAGGACTTAAAAGACATTTATAATGTGAAACTGCTGATATTAAATATGAGTTTTCTTAAATCACAGATGATTTAAATACAGTAATATTAATAATTTAATTTTAGCTTAATTGGCATTAGTTTGAATCAATTATGAAACTACTCTTAGAATGAATCTGATTTATATTATATTTATATTTTCTTTTAATTAGATTAAATTATTTTTAATATTGAATTATTTTTTGTAAATAATGCTTATTCATATGTTTCTAATTTTTATTAAATAAGAAAGCATGTTATTTTAATGTGTAAGTGAAGTATATATATGATAATTGACTACTGAATTAAGAACAAAATAGAGGGATGATAAATTAATCAATATAAGAAAAACCTGCATATAGATTCTTATAATTGATTAGAGATAGTTTAAGACATTATTTATGCAAATAAAATTATTATAAATAAAAAAATGTTTATGAATATAGGAAACATAAATTTGAAGAATAGAAAAGATAATTAAATATTTGTAAAATATGAGAGTCAATTCACTACTGATGGATAAAAACTAATAACAGAATCTATTTATGGCGTTATAAGAGTACTCGATGCCTGTAAATAACTTAAGTGCAAATAATGAAATACTTGTAAATTTGAATAAAAATTGGTAAGTGAAAGTTTGGAAATTGAAGATAGGTAAATGTCTTAAAATACTTGAAAGTACAGTGTATTATTAGATAAGGATCCTTATTTAGTATTCACTTCATCTGATTACCTATGACTATATACACTTAAAAGCTGAATCACTTATAAATAATATAAAGGAGATTGTGGATTGATTTAATCAATTTTCTAAAGTCCAAACAATTCAATATTATATAAATGTGCATTCAATCAATATGTATTGGATACTTATAGAGGGGAATAAAGTTATAGTACTAAATTTTAAATTTCAGACTGAGTATGGAGATAATATTTTATAATTAAGGTACTATTTTGCAGTGTTCAAGAGGAAATCAAAGAATTTTATTGAATTGTAATTTTAAAAGTTGAAAGGATATAATTCTAAATATTAATTAATGGCTATGTAGCTTAAGTTGATTATACTTATGGATTAGGATAGTTGTAATTATATAGTTATGAAATTAAATCAGGAATTGGATTGAAACTACTTAAATTATCAAATGAAAGTATTCAAGAGATTTATATGGGATCTAATACAATATTCTGCTTTTCTTAAAATGGTCATTTAATATTTATTCAATGAGTTTAAAATTAAAAATATTTTTTAAATTTTATATGTCAGCAAATCAAAACAATAGTTCAAATTTTAAAAGTTAATTAAAAGTCTCAATATCGTAAGAAAAGGAGGAGGCTTAAGAAACCCTTGAAAGTATTTGAAAATGGTTATTTCTAATAGTCATACATGAAATGTCTTAGATTTTAAATTGTGGATTGGATAGATAATAATTGGCTGTTTTAGTTAGTATGATAGAAAATGGGGTTAACCCTGAAGCTTTGGCTCTAGTAGTAAATGAAATGAAAACAGAATTAAACACCTATAAAAAAATACATAAATAATGAGTAAATCAATTTTGCGTTTAAGCCCTTGATGATTTGTATAAATATTCATTTTTAGAGGGTTTTATAAATTAATTTATTTATTTTTTATTATATTTATATCAAATTTTACATAAACTTATATGTTCATATTATGAAGTTATTAATAATTTCTAATAAATAAATAGATGATCCTTATTTATTATTAATAGATATACATATTTAAATAAATAGAACTATTCTATTAGACTACATAAAAAAGGATTATAATAAATAAATTACTGTAAAATATGTATAAATAAAAGAGTCATTCACTTAAACTGTTATTTATATTTATTTTATTAATTAAATTCCTTTTTTAAAGAATTATTTTGTTAAAATGATACAAATATTCAGTTTTATCAAATGAAATTAACTATTTTTAGTGTTGTTTTCAAACTCAATCTATAATTAATTATATAAATGGGGCCTTGTTAATCTTAATCTAAATTGAAATCAAGTAAAAATTTGCAACAACCAACTTTAATTCGAAAAACCGACCAAGTGCTCACAAATAACAACCCTTCATTGATTCTTCCAAGTTTTTCTCCTAACCCAGAAGTTATTAGCGAACCTTATGACGATACTAAAAAGAGTCTGTCCTAACTTAAGGTTTATAAATTCTCATACTAACGATTTTACAGTGAAATCACATAAGGTAACATGAAATGTATGAATATTTGTTTAATTAAATAAGTGTCATCAAATTAGAAGTTGGTTCAGCATAATCTAACTGGTAAAATTAGAGTAGTGGAACAATATGAAAGGAATCAATAAAATGAAGAATTTATCACTCAATTGAAATGTTATCCTCTGGTAATAAATAAAACATAATTATTATATAGGATAACCCTCGAATTGTTAATGTGCATGAATTATATATTGATGAGGAATCCTTNGGAATTGGATTGAAACTACTTAAATTATCAAATGAAAGTATTCAAGAGATTTATATGGGATCTAATACAATATTCTGCTTTTCTTAAAATGGTCATTTAATATTTATTCAATGAGTTTAAAATTAAAAATATTTTTTAAATTTTATATGTCAGCAAATCAAAACAATAGTTCAAATTTTAAAAGTTAATTAAAAGTCTCAATATCGTAAGAAAAGGAGGAGGCTTAAGAAACCCTTGAAAGTATTTGAAAATGGTTATTTCTAATAGTCATACATGAAATGTCTTAGATTTTAAATTGTGGATTGGATAGATAATAATTGGCTGTTTTAGTTAGTATGATAGAAAATGGGGTTAACCCTGAAGCTTTGGCTCTAGTAGTAAATGAAATGAAAACAGAATTAAACACCTATAAAAAAATACATAAATAATGAGTAAATCAATTTTGCGTTTAAGCCCTTGATGATTTGTATAAATATTCATTTTTAGAGGGTTTTATAAATTAATTTATTTATTTTTTATTATATTTATATCAAATTTTACATAAACTTATATGTTCATATTATGAAGTTATTAATAATTTCTAATAAATAAATAGATGATCCTTATTTATTATTAATAGATATACATATTTAAATAAATAGAACTATTCTATTAGACTACATAAAAAAGGATTATAATAAATAAATTACTGTAAAATATGTATAAATAAAAGAGTCATTCACTTAAACTGTTATTTATATTTATTTTATTAATTAAATTCCTTTTTTAAAGAATTATTTTGTTAAAATGATACAAATATTCAGTTTTATCAAATGAAATTAACTATTTTTAGTGTTGTTTTCAAACTCAATCTATAATTAATTATATAAATGGGGCCTTGTTAATCTTAATCTAAATTGAAATCAAGTAAAAATTTGCAACAACCAACTTTAATTCGAAAAACCGACCAAGTGCTCACAAATAACAACCCTTCATTGATTCTTCCAAGTTTTTCTCCTAACCCAGAAGTTATTAGCGAACCTTATGACGATACTAAAAAGAGTCTGTCCTAACTTAAGGTTTATAAATTCTCATACTAACGATTTTACAGTGAAATCACATAAGGTAACATGAAATGTATGAATATTTGTTTAATTAAATAAGTGTCATCAAATTAGAAGTTGGTTCAGCATAATCTAACTGGTAAAATTAGAGTAGTGGAACAATATGAAAGGAATCAATAAAATGAAGAATTTATCACTCAATTGAAATGTTATCCTCTGGTAATAAATAAAACATAATTATTATATAGGATAACCCTCGAATTGTTAATGTGCATGAATTATATATTGATGAGGAATCCTTCTATTTGATTATGGATTATTGTAGTGGAGGTTAACTCTCTAATTACTATGTCGATAAATCCATAATTCCATTTAATGAAGTTGAAATAGCTTCAATTATCTATTAAGCAGCAGAATCTCTAAGATATTTGGAAAAGATGGGATTAACTCATGGTTTCCTTAATTTAAATAGTTTTTCTAGAGTTGATACATCAAATAATTTTCAAATTAAACTTAGTGATATAAGAGGTCTATTTGTAAAGCCAGAGTTAAATGAATAAAATGTTTTTAGTCTTCCACCTGAAGCATGTAATACAAAAGATTAAAATGTATTTAATCACTCTAGAGATGTTTGGTGTTTGGGAGTGATGGCATACTAGATGATATGTGGATATCCTCCATTTGAAGGAAATACAATTGAATCAGTGAAATCATAAATTAAAAAGATGGCTGCTCAATATAATAATTTTTAATTCGATAGAGTATCTAAATTATGTAGACAATTAATTTAAAGAATTTTGGCACCTATTAAATAAAGAATATCAATTGTAGCATTAATGAATGATTAATGGTTTAAAATTAGAATTAAATAAAATGATTAAAGTATCTTAAATAAACTTTAACAAAATAAGGTCAAAATTTCAGAACTTTAACAATTATTTTTGATTTTTATGATCAAAAACATATGTTCAGCTGATTAATAATAACTTTATACTGAATTTGTGAATTTGGATGAAAATTAAGATGGATAATTAACTAAGGAAGAAATTTTTAAAGTTTATTCAAATAGATTTGCATCAAAAGCAGATGCAAAAGCATTTATTGAAAATATATTTAAAATAGCAGATGTTGATAAAAGTGGAACAATAGATTTTGGAGAATTTTTAGTAGCAATAACTGATAAACCAGGGTTGTTAACTGAGGAAAATTTGAAAACAACATTTAAGATGGTTGCTTCTAGCAATGGTAAATTAACTACACAAAAACTCAGATTTCATTTTAGTACTTGCTTATCAAAATTAGATAAATTGTTCTCAGAAAACTTTGCTAATCCATAAGTATTTTATAAATATAAATTTTAGAATGTGGGTTATTCAGAATTTGAATTATTGATGAAATAGTTATTGTGATTTTATATATATATATATTTATATAATAGTTCGAGTTGGTATAATAAAAGTATATATAAATATATATATAATCCTTTGTTTTTGAAATAGATTAGTTATTCAATAGGGATTACTATTTATATTCGATCATTATAAAGTATCGATATTAATTAATAAAATTTAAACATCATTAGACAGTTAATCTCATGTAATAAATTACACCTGAGTTTATTAAGTAATGCTTATTGACAGCAACAGATTACAAAAATACTCGCTTAATTAAATAAGCTTTGCAAGATAATTAAGAAAACACATTTGAAATCATTTGCAACACCATTAAAGAAGTTCTAAATTGGGATCCAATAAAAAACTTTCATCCTCCAATGGCCAAGTTATATGCTTTGAGAGTAAACTTATAATTCTATTTTCATAGTTGAGCAAAGACTTAATTGATATTTTTAATATGAGATTTGTAAATCTGTTTGAAGCTCTAACACTAGAATCATTGAAATATTATGCAGAGTATGGAGGTCCAAATACTGATCCTAATAGGGGAACAAACTTATTTGGAGAAAACATGGGTAATATACAATAATAATTTTAGAAAAGGATATAAGATAAATTGGAATGTCATTAGTAAGATTAGCCCTAGAATGTATTCATGCTTGGGCTCAGTTTTTTCCTTCAACTCCTTTGGGAAGTCCAACTAAATTTATTCAATTATATAACGAAATCAAAAATAAAGGATATTAGTTTCCTGCCTGGACTTACTATAAAGAAGATTTTGTTATATCTCATAAAAGTGAAAAGTTTAGTAATGTAGTTGATCTTTTAAATTCATCATAATAAGAGTAACCAATAAAAATTGTAAATAATCCCTCCACCCAAATTAATCCTCCCATAAGTCAAACTCCAGTTGGATAAACTCCTGGTGATCCAAAACTTAATATTGTACAAAAATCAAATTTGGTTATATAAAGATGTCACGATTTAATAAATGAAGTTGGAGATATTTGTTCTCATAATTTAAATTGTGATCCTAAATTATTTGATAGATTAAAGGATGAAGCTATAGCTAAAAATTAAGAAATGGATATATTGGTTAATGAACTTATAGATTAAGATGAGGAGGATTTAGCAGCAGAGGTCATGTTAGAGATGGATAATTTATAAACCTTAGAAAAGGACTTAAATGCACTTAATCAGAAGACTAATTAAGAATTCAGAAAGAAATACATGAAAAATAGGCCTGATTATGCATTACAACAATATTAGATTTAATAATAGTAAGAATAATAAAGGAGATAAGCAGCTGAATAATAAGAGGCAGAACGATTAGCAAGAATAAAATAATAAGCGATATAAGATGAAAATGAAAAAGAAAGATTAAAATAGATTAGATAAAGAGAATTAGATTAAGAAAACCAAAGGAACCTAGAAATTTTGAAAAAATAGAAAGAAGATGAAGAGCTTAAGGAAAAATAGCGTTAGGAATAAGAGAGAAAAAAAAAAGAAGAAGAAAAAGAAAAAGAAAAGTAAATCTAAATATAGAAATAAGAGGATGAGAAGAAAAAAGAAAAATAGGAGTAAGAGTTAAAAGAAAAGGAAGAAAGAGAGAGAAAAATAAAGCAAGAAGAGGAATAAATGAAATTAAAAAAATTATTAGAGGAGGAAAGAGAGAAAAAAAAAAAGGAAGAAGAGGAATAAATGAACTAAAAAAAAAAATTAGAGGAGGAGGAAAATTTAAGAAAGTAGAAATAACATGAGGAAGAACTTAAAAAATAAAGAGAATATGAAGAAGAATAAAAGAGAATTAATTAAGAAGAAATAAATAAAAAATAATAATAATAAGAAAATTAAATCGTATTAAATAACAGTGATGAAAAAAAAGCTCTAGAATTAATTGGAGCTAATAAATTTTAGTATTCTTAAATTTAATCTCAAGGAGGTGATCAGCAATAATTCAAGACTTCTTAATTTTAACATCCTATGGATAGATCTTAAGTTCAAATGAAAATTTAAAAACCAATTAGTCATTCTAGTTTAGGATTGAATCCTTAACCTTAAATTAAAAAAATAAATGGTGATTTAAGTGGAGCTCCTGATTTATTATAAGAAAATAAATAATAGATGAATTAATTTGAAAAGAAATAATTGGAAATTTTATAATAATAAGTTGAAAATTTATAAAGAGATAAGGGATAATTATAAAAATAATTAGAAGAAGAAGAAAACAGAAATAAAAAGTTAAAGGAAGATGTATATTAATTAAATGGAGGTGGAAATAGAATATCAGAAGATTTAAAAAGTCTTTAAACAAAATTTGATTAACTTTAATAAGAAAAAATATTAATATAGAATTAACTTACATCTACTCTATAATAATTTAATGAATATAAAAGTAATTCTGAAAGATTGAAATAACAATAAAAAGATTAAAATGATTTAGAGCTAAATAATTATAAAATTGAAAGATAATAATTATTTTCAGAAAAATAAGCATTATTAAGATAATTAGATTAACTGAAGGCATAATCAACAAATCATGTTGAAATTTAAGATAAATAATTTTAAAATGAATAAGTGATAGCCTAATAAAAAAGAGAAATTGAAAACTTAAAATAAGAGAAAGAAATTATTCAAAAAAATCTTTAAAAAGAAATTGATTTAAGTAAAATCAAACTCAATGATTAATAAAGTTTTTCAGATACACTTAATAATTAATTAAATATATATAAGACTTAATTGGAAAAAAGTTAAAAAGATTATTTAATTCTCTAAGAAAGTTAAAAAAGATCAAATGATGAATTATTATAATAAGTATTTGAGGCTAGAAGAGAAAATTTAGCTACAAAATAATAATTAAACTCAATCCAATTATAATATAGTGATAAAGAAGCAGAATATAAATAATTATAATAAAGTTATTAAGCAGTCTAAAAAGAAAATTAACAACTTAAGAAAAATTTAGAATCTGCATAATAATAAATAGATTAATTTATCCAAAAGAATATGGACAATAGAAGTTCAACCCTATTATAATAAAAATTGCAATAGAAATTAGATGAAATAGATAAGTTAAAGGAAGATCATAAAATTATTTTGAAAGAAAAAGATGAATATTATAAATAAAGAATAGATGATCTTACATAAGATAGATAAAAATTATAAAAAGATGTTTTTGAATTATAATAATAGGCATAATAAAATCAGTTGGCAACTATTGAAGCAATTTAAAAATAGAATTAGCTTTAATTAAAGATGCCACCTAAAAATCATTCAAAATCTTAAGTTTCTGAATTAGAATCTATTCAACATTAATAAAATAATTAACAAATAGAGATTTCTGAAGTTTAAGGAAAAGCAAATATTTCTATTAAGGAAGTAAATGCTGCCATTGATAATAATCCAATAATTTAAGTCTAATGTCCTATAGCTGTATTTAAACATTTTCCTAAAAATAAAAAATTCTATCCTGAATAAATACCTTAAAAGTCAAAAAATATTAATGCAGAATGTTTAGATTTAATATTCCCTTACAGTAGCCCAGAAGATTACTTTAATAATAAACCATAGAAATAAAGAAAAGGAAAGGTAATTCAATCTAATTAAAATTTTGATGATATTTCTCATTTGAATAAAGATAATTTAACCTTTTACAAACAACGATGTTTAGGATCTTAAGGAATTTTATATGAAGAATATGGATTATAGTTTGGATTATTGTATTCAACACAAGTTTCATAGAATAAAACCTATTTTACTTATGGTTTGTATATATAAAATACTTAGGGAGTGAAACAAGATTTCACAGTTTAATTTTTGGAAGTTGAAAGTAAAAATTTATAATGATAATTTATTTTAGAATTTTAACAATTTTGGGCTTCTCCCTAAGAATTTATAAAAACTTTAGATGAAGATTCTAATGATTTAATAGAGATATTAATAGGATCAAATAAAATTCCTTAATAAATTTTGACATTGTAGATATCCCATTATGAAACTCATCCATTCTAAATTTATATTCCAAATCATATTTGCTAATAAATAATATATAGAGAGATAAAGGTAAATGAATTTAAAAATAAATGGAAATAATATATAACTAATTAAATCAGAACCCCATTGCTTAATTTAAATAAAGGAGTGATGAAAGATATTTATAATTTCCAAAAGTAAATACCAAAAATAATAATATTAAATAACAATAAAGTAAATGATTTTGAGTTGGGAATAGATGAAATAAAATTGGGAGGTTTAGGATATTTTTTAGATATTTAATTCTTAATAAAAGTATAAAAATATTATTATATATTTTAGTTTGAAATTTTACCTAATGATAAAATATGTATTTATTTATCTTTTGAATCTAAGTATAATACTAAAAGATAAATACTTGAACAAATATTAAATGGATATGCCTTCATATTAGGTGATGGTAAAAGCTTATGAATAATGATATATATTTAAAAAATATGATAAATAATTTAGTCTATACTATTTTAAAATATAAATTAAATATTTTATATTAATTATTTGGAAGACTTCAAAATTTATTTAATTAAAATAATATCTTATATAATTTGAAAATGACAAATTAAACAAATATTATACTAAATAAAAAAAAAAATCAATTAAGAATAGAATTAGGTAGGAGAGCATTAAAGAAATCTAAAGGAAACCTAGATTTGCCTGTTTTAGGAATGACTAATTTGTTTGGTTACCTTGTATTAATTTTTGAATTCCCTACTCTACTTTATTCAGCAAATTTCTTCTTTAAATCTTATGTAGACAAACAAAGTAAATCTAAAATTCTTTCTTTTGTTTATTGACTCAAAGGAGGAATTTCTTTATTTTTCTTATTTTCTTTAGTTTCTAAAAAGAATTAACTATCTTATTCTAATTCTATAAAATTTTCAGTCTTTTTATCAATTTTTTTGATGCTGCTAACAATTTTATCTCCCAAAATTGAAGCAAATTTATCTTTAGGTTCTAAAGGAATTGATTATTTATGAAGACGAAATAAAATATCTTAAGACTCATCTTATTTAGAAATGGAATGTGTCGCAATTTCATTAGGTTCTGTTTTCATTTTAATTAAGGGAGTAAAATTTTTTCTTCTATCAGTTCGCAATTTAATATTATTGATATGTTAACTCTATTATTTTTTTACAGGTATAATATTAGTGGTTTAATCATCAGATTTGATTCTTCTAGTTGTTGGTAATTTATAAACTGATAAATCGTTTATAATTTTATATTTTGATATGGATCCATCATGTAATGGTGAATTTAATGTTGGAATACGTTTAATTGGATTAATACGATGTCTTCATATGTATAATACAATTACAAATCTTTGAAATGTGTAGGCGAATGTAATGGTTGGGCAATAATGGGTGTTTTTCTTCGAACTCCTTAACTGTTCGATGGGGTATCTTCTTTATTTAGAAAGCTTATCTTATTTGTAGAGTGACGAGAAGAAAGATTAGGAGGTCTTATGAAATATGGCTGTTGTTGTCTCATTATTATTGTAAATAAATAAATTATAATAATGAGATTTCTGATAGTAAATGGGTTCAATGCATCAGCATCCTGTGCTAAAGTATTTGATTATTTTAGGAATAGCATTTAGAGTGTATATAATTATAATAGAATTAGATGATATCGAAACAGAGAGAAGTAGCAGATACTGAATGTGAATATCATTTTCGAGATCGTCATTCTTTGGATGATTTCCTTTATGAACCAGAGACAAGTTTAATCAGAACAGAATATGGATTAAAATTTAATTCAATTGATATTGTGTTTATTTTGGCTTCTCCAAATTCAAAACCTTGGAATCCAAATATGAGAAAGGTATAAATAGAAATTAAATATTTAAGATAATAACTTTGATTAGAATGTGTTTGAAGACCAAAAAGTTATTATTTTCTACTTCATTTGGTGCATAGGCTATAGCTTATCTTTGTTCAACAAATTTCAATTTGGTAATCTTAAAATTATATATTATAAAGCATGCTTCAATTACTAACAATCATGGTGAAGGTTGTAAATTAGTTGATTTTCCAAAATACACTTTATAAGCATTAAAAAATGGTCCTAATGAATATTTCTTAGATTCTACTACAGGAGATCTATATTTATATAGTAAAGTAACTGATGAATGGTTACCAAAAGCAAATATTGGATTACATAATAGGAGAGATGCTATGGAATATTAATCTATTGGGAAATATATAGTAAAATCACCTACCTATAAACCTAAACAAAACATGTTGGCTAATCAAAGTGAAATGATATGTTAAATAAAAAAATAATTTTTGCATCATTGGTTATTTAAAGGTGTGGCTATGGAATTTGCTATTACATCTTACAATCAATGGGATATTCATGCAATTACTTTCACAAATCCAGATAAAGTATTTTTATTCAAGTTAATAAATTAGAAATTCAACTCTTTAGCTGAACACAATTTGAGAGGACCATTAATTATTGAAAGTGATAATATAATAGCAACAATGTTTGAATTGGAATCTAAGTAGAAAGATACTGTCAAAATATTATAGAATTTTATTGATAATGCAGTTAAATTGATTAGATTCAATAACAATTATAATCTTATTAGTATAACAAATGAGAAGTACTTTTCAGGAAATAAAGGATTAGATAATATTGAGATTGTATTTTAATAAAAAAAGAAGATGGGTAATTTAAATCCTGAAGACTTATTAAAAAAATAATAGAAGAATTTTATGCTTGAATATAGGAAATTATTGAATACTGCCATTTAAGAGACTGAAAGAGATAAGATATTTCATGTTGGATTCTCAGTTAAAAAGGATAGATTACCAGAGTATTACTTTATTAATATAGTTTTGTATAGCAAAATAATATCTAAGAAAAGAATTATAAAGTAGTGAGAAGAAAATCATTTCAAGTGAAAAAGGCTCAATTCTTACGATAATAGAGTTAGATTAATGTTGGTGGAGATGATGAATTTTAAATGAGGGATTTATAGGATGAGGGTTAAAAAAAACCATTGCCTTTCTAACGTTTAATATCAACTGCAAATAATAGTAAGAGATTGAATTCCAAAAAAAATTCAAATCCAAAAACACCTAATAGTATAGAAAAAGAAGACAATGAAATTTAAGAGTTTGAAATTAAGTGGATGAGTTAAACAAGTGTAAGAAAAATGTTACATCCGACTTTAGAAGATGAATTCTTAGGATCTAAAAAGACATGGGTTCCAGGATTCCTATCAAAGGAAAAAGTCAAGCATAATCATATTATTCAAAGTTAAAGAGGTTAACCTAATTAGAATAATAGATTTCATACAGATTCACTTGTCGGTTGATAAGAATTATTATTCAAATATATATAATTTATTTTTATGTAAAAGTACGAGGTTCTTGGTATAATAGGAAAAGGTTCTTATGGTGTAGTACTCAAAGGATAAAATAAGGAGACAGGAGAAGTAGAGAAATTTAATAATTTAGATAGTAGCAATAAAATAATATATTGGTTCAGAAGAAGATGAAAGTATTAAAAAAACAATCTTGAGAGAAGTTAAACTATTGAAGATGTTAAATCATGATAATATTGTTAAAATCAAAGAGGCATTTAGAAGGTATTGTATAATCAATTATTTATAGAAAAGGCAAACTTTATGTAGTATTAGAATATGTAGAAAAAAACTTATTAGAATTACTTGAAGAAAAACCAAATGGTTTAGATGTAATATTCAATTACAATTCTAGCCCGAATTAACAAGAAGATTTATTTATCAATTATGCTTAGCAATTGCTTATTGTCATTCTCTTGAAATATTGCATAGAGATATAAAACCTGAAAACCTATTGGTTAGTGATTAGATGGTTTTAAAAGTTTGTGATTTTGGTTTTGCAAGACTTATTCCATAAAAATAAGGATAATTAACTGATTATGTTGCAACTAGATGGTATAGAGCACCAGAATTATTATTGGGAGATGAATATGGTAAAGGAGTTGATATTTGGGCTATTGGATGTATAATGGCTGAATTAACTGATGGGTAACCCTTATTTCAAGGCTAAACTGAAATGGATCAATTATATTTGATTTGTAAAGTTTAAATTAGTTTGATATTTCATAGTTGTTGGGTCCTTTAACTAGTGAATAAAAGGAAGCTTTTTTAAAGAATCCTCGTTATGTGGGAATGAAATTTCATGAAATTACCAAACCAGACACAATAGAAAAAAAGTTTTAATCTAAACTTTCTTTAAAAGCCATATCATTTATAAAAGGTTTATTGAAAATGGATCCTAGTAAGAGAATGACTGCATTTGAGGCTTTAGAACATCCTTACTTTGATGGCATGAGAGATGATTAATATTATTAGTTTTTAAAAGAATTAAGAGACAAAGAATAAATTCCAAAAGATAGAATACAATCTGCAAATAAATTAGCTGCCAAATAGACTCAATAAGTCAATTAATAATAATAATAGATACAATAATAATAAGTATTATCATAATAAAAAGATAATTTAACAAGCAATAAAAGAAATGATAAATCAAATGAAAGGTATATTTTAATAATATTTTTTATAGAAAAACATAATAAAAAGGTAATAATAACATATCTGTAGAGAGAGTAAATAACTTTGTTAAACCTGCACCAATTAAAACAGGAGAAAAAAATACAGTAGATTATAATCCTATTATTTAGCCTTCTTAGGAATCTAAATCGATGCCTAAAAAAGATGTAAATTCATAATTAGGATTCTTGTAAAAGAATGTAATCATTGGATATTAAGAAGGATAATTTGATAATTTCTTATAAAATAAAATGGCCTAAAATTATAATTATGAAATACCTGAAAATGATTTAAATAATTCAATTGAAGGAGAGAAAAAGTCAATGAACCTTAGAGTAAGAGCAAAGAAAAAATCATTTAATCCTGATTTAAATGAAGATGATTAAACAACAATCATAAAATTAAAACGAAAAGAACAATAATAATAATAATAATAATAATAATAATAATTTTAATAATAAATTCCTGTTTATTAAGTTAAAAAGAAATCTACTTAACTCAGATAAAACTTTTATCCTACTGATGAATATTCAGGAGATGAATAGGAAGTGTATTAATCAAAAGAACTTCTGAATATTCAAAAAGGCTAAAAATAACAAATGTAATAGTAATACAATTATAATATTGGAGAATGTAGGAATACTTTGGAAGATTAAGATAGGAATTTAAATATTGTGTATAACAACATAACTTATAATTATAATATCAACAATTCTCCTGGTTGGATTAATAAAAAAAGAAATTGATTATTATAATTTTATACCTATTTAATGAATCAAATTTTGTTTAATGCTTCAAAATAGGAAAGCACTAATCTTTTACATAATTCTTCATCTTATTATATCTGCTTAATATTCACTTAGGCTTATCCTTCTTCATCTAAAGTAATCTAATATATATTTATTAATTTATTACTCTGCAAATAAATTGTTGATCATATATCCTTCCAGAAAAAAATAATGATCTACCTTAATCTTTATAGTTAAGAGAACATTAAATGCATTTTTATACATCCACCAATCCATTTGGGAATGTTTCATCATCAAATTTAAAGGGTTTGGATGTCAAAATTTTAGGGATACTTTGATATTCCTTCACTAATTCTTGCTAATTAGCAATAGTATATTCAACAATATTTGTGAGTTTCAAATAAAAGGTTGTTTCTTCTTAGAGAATTTCATCACTTTCAATAATTAATTCAATTTTGATATCTTTTTGGTAGAGTTAAGACTTTTAAATATTTCTAATTTCAAATCTGACTTATTATTCAGGTTTCAGATTGTTATTTTCATTTAAATTACTATATATTTCATCTACAATAAAGAAAATTATTACTGTTAGCTTCGCATTTAATCTATACTTTTAATTTTCTTATACTATTTTAAATGCATTTCAAATAGATAGCCATATCTAATGTATTTTGGTTAAATTTTAATTATCTAGCTAGTAGATAATATTCACTAATTTGAAATAGACCTCTACCATCTAATAGTCTTTTCTTTTTATCTGGGTATGATTTATCAATTTAAACTAGAGGTATTGATTTATCTGTTTGTATAATATATTAATTGTCACATTCAAAATTAAAGTTAGGATCAAAAATTGGTTTTTCAAGAGTAGAAATATTTGAAATTTTACAAATATTAGATTAATTACTATCTGTTGTACTAATGGATTTTGTTTGACTATCTATTTAATTTGATAATTGTTAATTTTCTTCTTATTTTTTTAAGATCTCTTATGTAATATTTTGTAATTCTAATTTTTTTTGTTCTATTTATTGTTAAAGGTTATCCAATATTTATTAAAGTTGATTTTTTTTTTCTTTTTCAATCTCGTTTGGTGTATTTTATTGCTATTTTTCAATTGATTATATAAATTAATCTTTTTTTTAAGAATTCAAGTTTACTTATTGAAATATTTCACCAGATTATATCTCTGTAGAATTTGATTCATTATCAGACATAAACACTACATCTTAGACTAAATTTTAACTCTTCCATTATTACTTTATATACTTATAATTCTGATCTATATTTAGTTAATTTTTTTTAAGATATTAATAATTCTTCTTTTTCTCTATTTAAAATTAATTTTCTTTTTGCTATTTTTTGTAGATTTAATACTCAGATAAAAATTTAGAAGGTTAGTAATCTTTTGTTTATGGATATGCATGAGCGAAATAACTTACCAGTTCTTTACACATAGTAACAGATGAAAGAATGTATTATTATACTTTAGGCTCTAACTATTTGGAATACATCTAATTATTATAAATGTAATTTATTATTGATGGCAGAACAATATTTTAAAAATGCTCTAAAAGGAATTCTTCATTATTTTTAATATCAATAGTAAGTTTGTAACATAACTAAAGCAAATCAAATTCGAAATACTTTGATTATACAAAATTGACAAATATATCTAGATTTGTCATTGTCTAAGAATTATTAAATTCTAAGACATAATTCACTGAAATTCTCTTTCATATTTTTAGATATTATTTTTTCACATTCCATATAGCCTTTGAATTCTTAATCTAAATTGCTTTCGATATATAGTTTTAATTTCTCCATATATTTAAAATAATTAATGTAATAGTATATAAAAAATATTCATAATACAGATAGAATAATCAAAGTGTATCAAACATCAATTGTTGAAATTGTTTGAAATTAATCTAAATAGAAATCAGTAAAATATTTACTTAATTATTTTCATAAGCACAAAATGATTATTTCAACTATTATTTTTTATTATGATATAAAGAACACATTTTAGATAATGAAATAAATCCTTCTATATCTGAAAGTAATTTAAATGCTTCTTTTAAATTGTCTTCTGTAATTAATGTATTTTTATTCATTACTCCAATCAAAAATTCTTAAAAATCTATTTCACCATTTTTATTAATATCAATTCCTTTAAAGACTTTATCTACATGTTCTTTAACTTCTTAAATACTATTGAAATATTTAATATAAGCTGTAGTAAGATCTTGTTTGCTTATTTTACCATCATGATTAATATCAAATTAACAAAAAAGTTAATAAAAAAATTACTCTTAATCAGATGAAAAAGTGGAAATCATAAACTATAAAAAGCAACACTAAAGAAAATTATATTCATGATTATTTTCTAATTATTTTATTATTTATTCTTATTCTTCATATTAATTCTCAATAAAGTGTTTTAACCAATGTTCATTTAAGGCTTCATTTAACATAATTCTTTTTGAAGGATCAAGTTAGAGAAATCTTTTAATAATATCTACAGATTCAGATGGTAAACATTTATTATTGAATTCCTATTATAATGAATATTTTCTTATCTCTTCAAATACTTCTTCTTTATTATTACCTTTAAATGGGAATTCACCAGTTAACATTTAAAAAAGTATAATTCCTATACTCCAAATATCTCTTTCAATTGTATAAAATTCAGGAAATTTGATAGATTCAGGTGACATATATTAATAAATTTCTTTTTCTTAAATATAAGATTTTAAGTAAATAGGTTTAAAATCGACTAATTTAATAAAGTTAGAATTTGATTAATTACATTTCTAAAAAGAAGCCAGTGTTAATGCTCCATGATTTACATCATATTGATGAAGATATTTGATAACATCTATTATTTATTTCAAAATTAAAGCTGCTTATTATTAAGTGTATACTGAATTATGTAGATTTTAGGATAATAATGTTCCATTACAAAAATCATGTATTATTTGATAATTATTACTATCCTAAAATATTTCGAAAATTCTTATTAAATTAGGATGATTCTAAATTAGAATTAATTATATATACTAATTAAGTTTAGATTATAGATTCTATGAATTAATTTCCTTATTGAGTTTTTTTTATCATTTCAGCCACCATAATTCTACCACTGATATTATGTTAGAGTACAACTATATGATCATTCTATTTTATTTTATAATGGAATTAGTCTTTATTTAACATAGTGTAGTATTTTGAAAATTATGTATTTTTTATTGATACCCAAGTTTTGAGGGTTCCACGAAAATTTTAATTTTCAACTATTTAATCAGCCCAAACCATATGTTTAATTTATCGAGTAGAAGGGGAAACAGCAAATTTAGATAACACTTACTTTGGAGAAAGAGCAGTTGGTTTAATGGTTTTAATACTTCTTTCTGATTTAACAAGTCTTTAAATATCCAATGATTATTCATTTTGAGGAGATTATTTTGATTATTTTTCATGATATTGTATAATTTTTAGATTCTATTATGGTTTAGCTGAACAGATTCCCATATTTAAATTAATATTTTATGTTCTATATCATGAGTTTATTTAAGAAAGTTATATTCTTATTTATTGGAGTATTATAAAATAGTAAGAGAATGAGAATTTGAGAATAGTTTCAATAAGAGTGAATAATTTAAATGGTTCATTGATATCAAATTAAATTAATAATGTAGATGTAAGAAATATGAAGATTAAAAATAAAAATAAAATAAGAATTCTTTAAGTTCATGAATATACTTAGATGATTATGATTTTGTTTGTTTAAATGTCATTGATTTTTTATTAGATTTCTAATGATACACACCTATTTATTTGTGTGTATTTAGTATTATAATCGGTGATATTTAATTAAATGAACACAGAAGAGTTAAAGGAAGCCATTAAAAGAATTGGATAGAGTTAATAAGAGTAAGTATAATGTATTAACAGTAGATCTTAATAAGATTTAGAGATTGTATGGCAGCAAATCCAACACCCTATAGGATTGGATTTATTGTATCAATGTGCAAAGAACGTAATCGAATTCAGACAATACACAATGTATTGGAAAGTAAGTATTATCTTATTATTGATAGTTTGCAAATAAAATCTTGATGCATATAGTGAAGGTGTGTTTAAATAATCGAGATCAATTGAAGGCTTGGGAGACACTTCGTTTAATCATAGATCCAGACAAGCATTTCTTCAAATGTCATGAGTTAGTCTAGATGGATGAAGACTAGGTATTCAAATCCAAAAGATTTTTAGTTTTCACATTTGGAATTCACTTAATAAGAATTTTGTGCTAATCTTTTGGAAGGTTAAGATGTTGATGCATTATATGAAGATGAAAAAGGTAATGTAATTGGATGGTGTAGAGCAAATATAGTAAAGATTAATGATAAATATGTTTGGGTTAAATGGTATGAAAATGAAGAGAAAAGAAAGATTGCTAGATATTCAATGGATTTGGCACCATATAAAAGTAAAGTGACAGATGATGAATGGGAATGGAGACATTCTTTTACTATTGGCGATATAATAGATTGTTTTGATAATCGTGTATGGTAGAATGCTACTATTGTTGCTGCCTTAAATGAAGAGAAAGAATATTCTGTTGGATTTAGAGTTTATGATGAAAAAGGCAATTAGTATGACTCATAAAATAGGAGATTCTTTGGTTGGAATTAATAATATGATGAAAGAATTAAAGCAGTGAGTCCAAGAATTTAAAAAAGAAATGCATTTTCAAAAGGATAACCATCTAATCCTCATTGTTAAGAGGAAATTATCCATGATTGTAATGATTTCCTCTATCCAAATACTGATTATGGTGTACCTAGATTTTAGACAAAATAAGCTAGAAGATCAATTGTTATTTGTGAAATGATCAATGAATTTGGCAATGCTGGATTATTTTAATACATATTAGATTAAATTCTTAATAAATGCACTATAGATTTCTTACATAGTTATATGGTAGTGTTGAATAATTTCTAAGAAATGTTAAATAGAGAATTAGTTTTAAATTACGTTCCCCAATTATTTGAGGCAGTCTAAAATAATATATTATAATCAGCTGATAATAATCTTAGAAACTTTTCAAATTAAAAGATAACTGATATTTTACAAGCATTAAGTAATTTATTAAAAAGAGTATATGCATTATAAAAGAGATAAGAAATGATAGATAGATTGGATTTAGATATAGCATATAAATGTTTTACAAGTGATTTTTTAGAGAGAAAGATTTAAGGTTTGAAAGCAATTTAAGAATTGATAAAGAAGACAAAAGATTAATATAATTAATATGGAATGTAAGAATGGTAAAAATAAGCAGCTATTTAAATGATATTAGAATGGTTAAATGAAAAAAAGATTTTTGAAAGTCTATATGTTGGAACTGGCAATTCTCATTTAGTATAAAGAAGTGCAGAATTTTTTAAATTTTTAATAGAAGAAAAAATGATTAGTATTAATAGTTTTAAAGATATATGGTATAGTTTAGAGAAAGCAGAATATGAACATAAATTAGCTATCTTTAAGTTATTTAAAGATATTTCAAATTCATTAGAGAAAGAATGGTTAGATTTCTTGACTGATGCTGTTTGTAGTAAAGATCCAAAAGATGTCACAAAAGATGATTTAGAATTGTTACTTGATATAATTAAGATGAATTATAGATATAAAGATGAATATATTTAGAAATGTTGTAATTATTAATGGACAGTATTGAAGAGTGGATAATTAAATTAGACAATGTAAGAATAATATATTTCATATTATATTGATTAAGTCACTTAATATGAAATGAGACCTCATAAAGGAGCATAGATAAATATGATAGGAGAAAGTATTGTGAATGGAGAATAAGTTAATGTTGGTTTGAAAGTTTTAATTAAATTGATAGAGAAATTAGATATTTAACCAGTGGCTTGGGAATAATATACAAGAAATGTTGCATTAACAGATTTAGAGAGTAAATTTAAAATAGTAGAAGAAATAATTAAATCTATTCCTGAATTGAAAAAGTAAAAAGATTATTTGGATGAAATCAAGATTAGAATGCAATTCATTTAATTCTTTTATTAAAATATAAGCACTTATGAATATAGATTAACTTTTAATATTATTTCAAGTATATGGGAATAATTAGTTTGTTAATCTTCAAATTAATAAGAAAAAGATTTAGTATATAAATGGTTTAGTGCATTATCTACTTAAGATGGATAATCATAATTAACTTCAATGGTACCTCTTTAAGATTTAAAATCCTTTTTTTATGAAAAAATGACAAATGATTTAATCTAATTGACTGAAGAAGGATTTAATTGTTTTAAAACTGTTATGACAGCAATAAATAAATAAGAAGATAATGGTTTTGGTCTTGATGTATTATGGCAAATTATTTTAGAAACAGAAAATGATAAGGTATCTTAATCTGCAATAGATTATTATCATTCATTTGAAAGTACATTAGATGTTTTATTCAATAAATTATAAGAGAATAGAAATAATAATCAAAAATTATATAGGTGTTTATTAGTTTTGGAGGGATTCATAGATTAAAGTGAAGTAAATGGAGTAGGTAATTTAAAAAGTTTAAATGCTTTATCATAAGGAGAAGAATTATAAATTTAAATATCTTATGAACATGGTAATTTTAAGAAATTTACAATTAAAATAAATGATAATTAAACTATTATTGAATTAAGATTGGCAATAAGTAAAGTCATTAAATAATAATGGGATTCTATTGGATTGAATAGTTTAAAAGGTGAAATTAAATTTACTGAAAATGGAAAAATGATTAAAGATTTAAGATTAAAAAAAGGGGAAATTATTATGGTATTTAGAAAATAAGTAAAAGAAATACCTGAAGTTAATCTATTAGATGGAGATGTATTATCAGAACCAGCAAAATAAGTATTTGGAGAAATCTTTAGTGATTATTCAACTGATGGTAAAATGAGTAAAGAAGATTGTACAAGATTTGTTACTGGTTGTACTGGTAATCCTTGTAGTATTGATGATGCTAATATCTAAAGAACATTTGAATAATATGACAAAGATAAAGATTCAATTCTGACTTTAAATGATTTCTTAGATTTCTATACTGATTCTGCAAGAACCAAAAAATCAACTGTTTGGTTGAATCTCCAAACATTGCATTATAGAAATGATTTAATTAGAGGAGATAGAGTACCTTTACCATAAGTAAATGCTCAATTATTGCCAAGAGGATAAATTGTATAAAATTAAATGTATTTGGATTTACTCTTTGAACTTTTACAGAATTCAAGTAATGAAGTGTAAGAGAAAACTTGGTATTTATTGAGAAGATTACCTCCATCACCATAATTGATTAAATAGATGCTCACATTTGAAAACATCTAATAGCCTACTGATTGGGATCAGATATTAGTAAGTAGTCATTATAGATTATTATATAGTCTATATATTATAGAGTTTTTGATGAATCAAAATGATTCAAATAATTTATAAGCATTAATTGATGATTAAGAGATTCTTTTATTGAAGGATAAATGGATGAGTAAGTTTTTGTAACTTGGTGGATTTGATAAGTTATTACAATTCTTTAAATAATATTAAGGTAGAAGTGTAAGTACATTACCTCAAATTGAAAAAGAAATCTTGTCATTCCTTTTAAAAACATTCTAAAATTATGTTATTGCTGCTTGTGCTAGTAATGTACCTAATTTGTATAAGGCATCAAGAGGTATTTAAATCATCAAACCATTGGATTAAGTATTACTTGATATTAGATAATCTGAAGATCCTGAAGAATTTAAATTATTGGTATAAAAATTGAAAGAAAGTCGTCTTGGTGATAGTATTACTGAGAAGATTGAGAAATTTATTAGTGTCTTAATAAATTTAATTTAAGAATTACTTAAGAGTAATGAATTAGAATAAGAAGATAGATAGATTATTGAACATAGTGTAATAGTAATAATTGTAATATTATTACATAATTAAGAATTATTAACAAATAGTATAGAAAATGTTGAATTCATTAATATTTTCTTTAGTGGAATCTTTACTGATAAATCTGATAGTGTACGTAATTTATTTAGTAGAGCAATACTAGTACTTTGTCATGAAAGTCAGAAAAGAAATAATTAACCTACTAAAATTATATTATAACAATTAATTTCTATGTAAAATCAACAAGCTAATTCATCATAATATTATGAATTATTAAGTTAATTGATTGATAGTGCCTTTGAAAGTGAAGACTCTTAATAATTTATTGATTATTAACAATTGACTTAATAAGTAATTGATAGTTTAATTAATCATAAAAGTATAGAGACTAGATAAAAATCTACAGGTGTTGATAAAATCCTTATTGGTCTATTGAATTTGTTAACAAAATTGTACAAATTTATTAAATAACCAATTCATGATATTATATTCAATGATTGTTTATTTAGTCTATAAGATGAGAAGGAAATAAAATGTAAATCAAATGAAAGTAGATAAGCTGCATTTAAATTATTATACTAATTATCTCATCAATAGAATAATTGTGAAAACATTCTTTTAAATCTTTAATAGTTAAGTTAAAAGATTCCTGTTATAAATAGATGGAATTATATTCCTGCAAGTGATATGAGAAGTTCCTTTGGATATAGTGGAATAAGAAATCTAAGATGTATTTGCTATATGAATGCTATGCTTTAATAATTTTATATGACTCTTCCTTTTAGATATGGTATATTATAAGCTGATGATGGTCAAGAACCTGATATGTAAGTAAGTAAAACAGGATTTTAATTTGATGACAATGTGCTTCATTAATTATAATAAATGTTTAGTTATTTAGAATTATCTGATCGTATTGATTATAATCCTTAAGAGTTTTGTGCAGCATTTAAAGATTATGCAGGAGAACCAGTCAATATATTTATTTAATAAGATGCTTAAGAATTTTTGAATATGATATTTGATAAATTGGAGAATCTCCTTAAACACACAGTCTATAAGAATATCTTAGATGGAGTATTTGGAGGTAAGACTTGTACATAAATTGAATGTTAGAATTGTAAAGCTATAAAAAATAAGGATGAAATATTTTATAATTTATCTGTTCCAATAAAGAATCTTAAAAATCTTTAGGAATGTTTTGATAAATTTGTATAAGGTGAAATTATTTCAGATTTTAAATGTGAAAGTTGTAATTAAAAGGTTGATGTGAATAAGAGATAATTGTTAGCTTAATTACCTAATGTTTTGATATTACATTTATAAAGAATAGTATTCAATTTAGATACATTTATGAATGAAAAAATTAATTCTCGTTTAGAATTTCCAATCAATTTAGATTTAGCTTAATATACTATTAATTAAGATTAATGTACTCAATATAAATTAGTTGGTATAGTAGTTCATTTGGGAACTGCAGATGTAGGACATTATTTTAGTTATATTGATATAAAAAATTAAGATTAATGGTTAGAATTTAATGATCATAAAATAAAGGAATTTAAATTAAAATAAATGGAAAATGAATGTTTTGGTGGTTAATCAAATTTAGAATATAATGATAATGATGTTTGGGGAAATGGTTTTAGAGAGAATTCTTAAAGTGCTTATATGCTAATATATGAAAAGGTAGAAAAAGACAAAATAAAATTAGAATTTAATTCTTAAGAAGAATTACAATAATCATTATCGAAATTTGATAATTATACTATTCAACCCAATAATGTATTATTAGTAGATTATAATTCATTCAAACAATATATACCAACTCAATATCATAAAAAAGTGAATAGTGATAACTAATAGTTTTTATTAGAAAGAAATCTTTTCAATATAGAATTTATGAAGTTTATTTTAGACTTAAGTGATTTTGTAAATAATGACAATGCAAATGTAATGATAGAAATTCTTATTAGATTTAATTATGATCTATTAGCTCGTTCATATGATAATTCTATATCAGAACATTTTAATACAAAGATTTTACAACTTATATAATAATATCCTAATAGCAATTATCTTGATTTAATTTACTATGGTAAATAAGCTAAAGTATAAGATCTTTTACTTGTTTGTCCAGAAACTAGAACTCGTAAATATTTTGGCAAATTATTGTCAACATTATTTAATCAAGCAATATAAATATAAGGTGAAATCACAGAGAAAATATAAGAAGGTTTGGATTAATTATTTTTAATGTTATAGGATTAAGTACCTAAAAATTGGACTCGTTTTGATTAATATTTCTAATTTTGGTTAGATTTTCTATAAGAAGGAAAACTTTAAATGTAATATTGTTTAGACAAAGATATGATTTTATATATGATTGATTTCATTCTTGATAAAAGTAGTCCATTATAATTGTATGAAAAGAAAACATAAATGGGAAATGCTTACTTTCCTATAAATTGTTAAATACCTATGCAAATTATTAGTACTCTCCTTTAATAAAATCATTAACTCACTCTTTAAGAAAAGAAATTGTTATATTCACCTAAATTTTATGATAAGGCTCTTAAAAGTGCTAAAATTGAAGAATTAACACCAATTATTCTAAAATTTGCATATAATAATAGATATTTCTCAGAAATTATTACAGGATGTATTATGAGAGGACTTGGAAGTGGTGATTCTGATGAATTTAAAAATTATATCTAAATAGCCAAACCATTTTTATTAATTAAAGATAATCTTTAAATTGAACGTTTAGAATGGTTAATAGGAATACCTTCATCAAAATAAAAGGACTCAACTAAAGTTTATGATAATTAATTCATAGAATATCCACAATTTGGTTTATATGGATTGACAAGCTTAGAAGAAGATTATTGGACATTTTCAAGTCCATTAGGATGGTAAAATAGTCTATTTGATTAATTTTGTTCACACAGAACAACTAAAAATTTGGATAATCAATGTATACTTATTCTCAAATTATTATTAATGATTAGTCTTGAATGTGAGACATGTTTTGATTATATCTCCAAACTTCCTTGTGTTAATTATCAATATGTAAATAATATTACTTATCATTTTATAGAAATATATGGAGGATATTTTCAAAGCTTTCATTGAAACTTACATAATAGATACAAAAAGATTCTATTCCTCATTTCCTCGTAAATAAGAAACTGAAGAAACAAAAGGTTATTTAGAGTAGTATTGTAATAAGTTATCTTAAATTCACAATGAATTTTAACCTTAATTCAATTATATAATTGGAAAATCTATTGAAGTTAATAGAGTTAGAAGAACTTATTTCCTTTACAATCCTTGTACAAAAGAGGAGATGTAAATAGATGAAGGATCTGAAGGATTTGATGAAATTAAACAACAAATTGAAGAAGGCAATTAACACAAAGTTCTTACTATGGAAGTAATTTCTATTATTTATAATTATTAAAGGAGAAAATATATAAAACTCATATATGTGATAATTTACCAAATGGAAATACTAATGAGGCCTTACCATCATAATATGTCAAAGGAACATAAATTCATAATTATTCTGTTGATCCAAATTGTTAAGCTGCAAATTTCATTTAATCGAAAGCCTGGAGTGCTGATAGTGATGACAAAGCTACAGTGATTAATCCAAGAATTGCTGATACTGTTAAATAGATTTAAATCCAAAATCATACTAATAGAAATTTACATGTTATCTTAGAAATCAAAGGTGAATCCAATAATTGTCATTATATTCCTAAATCAAAAATTTAATCACTTATGAGCTCTAAGAATTCGACTACAATGTTTACAGCAATTAAAAATAATTCTAATTAAGAATTCCCACCTCTTTAATTGACATTAGTGCATAAAAAATAAGAACCTAGATAAGACTCTTACCTATATTTATCGTCTTAAGATGAAATGAATTTGGAATTATTATGATATATATAAAAAATATATATAATATGATTTGAATCTTAAATTAATTATTATTTAAAATATTCCTAAAAATATTACAAAAATAAATATAATAATTTCGTTTATTTAATTATGTACAAATGTGGGGGGTCTTTCGACCTCTAAAAATTTATGTAAGTCACCGGTATGAACCCAACCCACGGTAATCTTTAGTAAAAGGCGAAAAATTAGCACGTTATAGGTTGAGCTCGGTGATGAATAAGTTTTATAATAAGTTTAATTTACTTAAATATGAAATTAAATTTTCTCTTTTTATGGGTTTTAAATTAATTAATTAATTAAATATATAAAAAATAATCAATTTTACATTAAAATTCCTTCAATTTTTTCTATTTCATTTTTCATCATATAAATTATGTGATTCAGTAATGATGTGGTTTTTTTTAGTTATAACTTGAAACCCATTAATTTACTATTCAAAATCGACTTAAGAATCAGTCATGTTCCTTTTATTATTCTCATTAATATTTGAAGATTCAAGTATTTGATTTTATAAATTCTTCTATTCAGTTTCTTGGGAATTTTTAAAATTACATGCATGTTAACATTTATTTGCTTCCAATTATATAAACTGTTCATCATTATCTTATTCAAAAGACGCTTGATGTTAACAATCTTCAATTTATTAATTCATGTCATTGAAATCTCTATCTTCTTCACTATCAGAATCAAAGGACTTCTTTTAAAAACTATTAGGTGAAGGAATATTATTCTATATATTGGCAATTTTTTTCTTAGCATAAGCTCTTAGAGTTTTGTAAACCATTAACAAATATAGATAATCCTAAAGAATATTTAAATTCCCTTTGATGTGCATTTTATCATATATTTGTTCCCTTTGATCTAAATTATCCTTAGAAATTTTATTAAATTTAATACTATTTGTTTAAAATGTAATCTGAAACGTATATCTTTGTCTATTTGTTTAATAGCCTATATACTTTCATGTGTTCCTGTTCTAAAGATTTAGTTTCTGTAAACAAATCTTATTGTTTCATAGAGAATCTATTAGAAATGTATGTACCCATTTTAATCAGTGCGAATCTTAAAATTAGATGCACTTTAAGCTGCATCCCATATATTATCTCCAATGGGTGATCCTAAAGGAGGTCCTAATTCTAATAAAAACTTAGCTAAATGTTTAGAGTGCATTTATTTTCCTTTAGTTTCAGATGAATACTTACACCAAACTGTTCTAAAGGAATCAATATTTTCGATATAGGTTTACAAAACACTTTTTTCAGAATGAAAAAATTCTTAATAATACTAAATAATAAGTACATTTAAATTCATCAATTAATGCAGTAATAAATAAATTAAAGGCTACAAAACTTGATAAAAGGAGAAATGAGTAAAAGTATGTACTTGCAAAAATCCAACTTACTCCACATTATTCTGATTCATGTTTAATACAATACTAATTTCTGTCTGAAACATCAATCATCACTTTTACCCAATTATTTTTAGTACATGCTTTAAATAATACAATTAAAGCCTTTCCAATATTAGAAAAATTCATATATTCATTAATATATTCTCCTTTTTCTACTTTACCAAAAAATTCACATCCTATATAACCATAAAATAAAAGTATGGAGATTAAAAAACAAAGAATTTAGAATAAAAATGAAGCTGAATAATTTAAAATTCTTATTAATATTTTCAATCCTTTAAATTATTATATAATTAATAGAGTTCTTAGATTTCTTAATGCAAATGCTAATCTCACCCAAATAAAATAATTATCATGTATTGTGTAATAATAATAATATTTTGTCCAATCAAAACTTAAATACATAAGTAAGTCTACTAGAGCTATAAAACTTAAAAAGAATTCAATCTTTCTCCAACAAAATCCCCAATACCTTTTCAATCCAAAAGCAAGAATCTTTAAATAAGCATCTAAAATTAAGAAACATGTTAACAATTGATAAATATATTCTAATTTTTATAGTATTTCAATAGTGGCAGAATCATAATAAAATGTTAAAATTACTAAAATATAATATTTAAAAATACCTGTATTAAACAATATTGTCAATAAAATAAATCTTACATAAGATTATTATTTAATTATATTTGATGCTAATCTTCTAAAAAAATTTTTTGGAGGATCACTATAATTAGGAACTTCCATTAAAATTATTTTTGTAACATCTGCAAATAATTATTAATCTTTAGTTAAGATTTACTTCTACAAAATATTTTTATAAGTTTGAAAATTAGTAAATAATATTCCTGCAAATAAACCCATAAAGAATAATACTCCCACTAAAATGAAAAGAATAAAATAAATAAAAGTTATCCATCTGTTTCCATAAAGAATTGGACCTAAATCTTCACTTCTTGAATTCAAACACACCTAACATATATATACCCATTTATCACAAGCAGATATTCTAAATAAAGTTAACATAGCATTTCCTAAATTATCAAAATTATATAGATGAATAATCCAAGGATTATTTTCTTTAATACATTATTCTTTATTAACACCAAAATTTAATGGATGTTCACAATATCCCATTTTATCTTTGTATATTATTACTCCAAATATTGCAAAAAATAACCAAACCATCAATTAAATGAATAGAATATTTTTTAAATCTACTATTGATTTAGAAATTGCACTATTTATATATTATAATTCTTCAAACAATTACAAAAATCTAAATGGTCTTGTGTATTTCAATATTTTTATATATTTAAAACTTGAATAATCAAAAATACAATTTGCAAAATAAAATAACTAATAGATAAAATCTATTAATCTCCAAAATTCACTTGTAAATGCTCCTTTTTCTTGAGTAAATCCTAGTGATATAATCTTCAAAATTGAATCAATCAATAAAATAATATTTATTATTAATTCAATATTATCAGAAATTACTTAATATTTATGATTTTCATGATTATGATAATCATCATAGTATGTATAATAACACATATTTATCAAAGATATAACAAATATCATTTAAATAAAATGAATGTAAATTGAATAATTAATAAATCGATAACAGAATTTTCTAAATTAGTTTTATTAACTAAATATAAATAAAGAGAATTAACTCTCATTATTTTTAAAAAATTTAACATTTTCAAATTATTTATTCTCTAATTTTTCAATAGTTTCAATTTATCCATTTTTCTTTTCAAATCTATTATTCTAATAATTTCTATTCAACTTTTTATTAAGTATTTTATTTTCAATTATACACTATTATTTTTATTCACTTGATATAGGTTACTATGGTACTTCTTATTAAGAAGTATTTAATGTAATTATACTTGTATCTAAATTTCTTAAATCTTAAGATATTTCAGTATCCATTTAATATTAATCATCAATAAGATTTCTTTATCTTTATTTTAAAAGGTTGAAAAAGCATTTAAAATTATTGCTAAAATTGATCGAATTGTCATTAAATTTAATACATAAACTAAAATAACTCCATAAAACATTGTTGGAATTACATAACTATATTAAGATCCCATAATCATCATTCCAATCCAATCATCATTTGTTGCTCTTATAAAGACAGTTAAAAAGGCAACTTAAATATCATCAAAAGATGAGGATAATCCAAGATCTGTGTTTAAAGGAAATTTATTTTTATATAAATTCATTCCTATGAAGGCAAATATAAAAATCAAAGTAACCATCAATAATATCAAATTAAAAAAGGAAGGAAGAGATTTCTTTGTTATATTTGCTATTTTAACTGCAAATTAATTATACTTAATTATTCTATATACCAAAAGTGTTTAGAGTGAACTTAACAAATCAAGATATAAATTCTTTTCTTAGAAATTTTCTTTAAATTTTATCGATGCAATAAAAGAACAAGTCAAAACAATTGTATCAATTATGTTAGTTGATTTTGAGCAAAATCGAACTATTCCTAATTATAATAATTTTAAACATTGTTCAACTATTAAAATTAAAAGAAACAAATAATTTATTTTCTTTATTTTTTACTCATCAACATAACCAATTAAACTTAATAATACAATATTTATTAGAACTACTGAATCAAATAATACTTTTGCAAATTTATTCTTTACAATTATCATAGCATATCTTTATATCCAAATAAAAAAATTTCTTATATTTTTTAACTAAATAGCTGTATCTTAGTTATTTAATTATTTAAACACCTTCTTCTTTAACTAAACACTATTTTTTTAAAGCATGACTTCTTCTCCAGACCAATTATGCTTATATATAATTTATTATTTGCATTCATCCATTCTGAATCTTCCATAAATATTTTCATAATCAAGTGGTTAAATTTATAAACTAGGAATCTATCTATTAATTTTATAGCTAATTTCAATATAATCACATTCCTTATAATTTACTTTAATAGTATTTTTATTTTTAGTATCTACTGAAATATTATTTCTTATTAATTTTTCAGCTTCATTTTAATTTAAAATGGATTCAGGATTTTAATGATAAGAAGGAGATTCATTATTCTACTTTAGAATGAGTTATTAATTGTTTACATTATTTTTGAATTCTCCTTATAGAGAATTTTAAAGTTTCTTTGGTTTCAATTTTATTGGAAATTTAATTTTTCTGTAAGATAAACCTTTGGTTTCAATATTATCTTTTCTAGTTTAAGAGAGAGGGTTTTCTTATTTAATTAAGGAATATTCTGACTTTTTGATAAAATAATAATGCTTTAAAGCAAATTTTCTTATAAATTCAAAATCTCTCTTTTTCTCTAATTATTTATTTTTTTATTTATAAGTACTAATAATATCATTTTCAGATGTACTAGTAAAAACATAATTCTTCTTGATAACAATCCTCCAAGAATATAATGGATTTTATTTAAAAGTTTAGATATAAAATGCTTTAAAATAATCTCTATTCAAACCTTAATTTGAATAAAGTTTTTACATAAAATACTCCTTATTTTAATCAGATAGTAATATTTTGCTTATAGTAAAATTTTCAAATAAATTATAAATATTACTTGTCTCTGATTTAATTCTTCTTTTTCTATTGTAAATTTCTTTCTATTCTCTAGTTTAACGAGCTGACAAACAAAAAGTGTAATATTTATCATTAAATGTTATTGGTTAGTTACAATAATTATTCACACATGCTTATAATTTATTATTTAAAAATTTATCAATTTAATAATTTTTAATAATTTTAAAATTCAAGAGAGTTTCTTCATTCTTAGAGTTTTCTTTTATATCTTTTAATTCATTCTCTTCTAGTTTTTATGAATAATAAATCTTGAGGGCAGCTATGATTAGATTAGCTCCGAAAATCCCAATTATAAAAATAATCAGTATATAGTATATTACAGTAAAATCATGAAATGAAAGCATTGAGAAATACAATGGTTCAGTCCAATCATTGAAAATCATAACTCTAACTACTTATTCATATGAATAAAAGATATCATCAAAATTAGTAGGTACATTTGGATTATTAAAGGATTTAGCACATATTAATTCATGTTCCTTACATTATAAATTATATCCACACTTTTCCTTTGTCTAAATGCCTTCTTCAGCGATATAACAATGATATTGAAATAAGCCCTTAAATAAATGTTAACCAAATAGAGCAAAAAAGTAAGAGAATATAATAACAATTAAAAGTGCTTCCAATATTGAATGTTTAACAGCAATTAACATGATTTTTAATCTCTTACTAAAAATACTCATAAATGTGAGTAATCGAAATAATCTTGCAGTTGAAAAATCTACAACCATTATTTCAGGATAATTGAAATGTAATAAAAATAGTACAAGAATGATGACATCAAATAAGTTTTATAAATCCAAAATATATTTAAATAATCCTAAACCAATTAATTTTAATACATTTTCTCCTATGAATAAATATAGTATAACTAATATATATCAAATCTTTTTTACTTTTCTTTTTCCTTTTAAGATCATCTTAGACATCTTGAGTTAGGTTATCATCTTGACTTTAGATAAAAAATACAATATTTAATATTATTGACCCAAGTACAAAAAGAGTGAATAAACGATGACTAATAATTTTATAAAAGCTAATATTTATTATTCTTAGAAATAAAACAATAGTTTTTCTAATCTTAGTGAAAGGGTAACCATCCCAATATAATTTGAAATCCTTTATTACCCACTTAATATCTTACTTACTTTCCCAAATCAATGGATATGGATCATAGATTGGATTTCTCTTATATTTTTTTTTGTATTTGATAATGATATTACGATCATAAAATCCAATAGGATCATTGAGAGTCTAAATAGTGTTATTAGTTTATTCATATTCATCATATTCATATACATCATCATCATCATCATCATCATCAAAATTTTCAGATGATGAATTTTGTAAATATTGAATTGAATCATAACTATCATTAAATTGAAATTGATTAAATTGATTAGTTAGTTCATTTTCTAAGATTTATGACTCATGAGCCATATTCTCAAAATATATTGAATCATTTTAACCAATAGAAAAAGAACTAGCTTGATCTCCATCAGGTTTTTTAGATTCTTGATTTATCAATTAAATATTTCTGATTTCTCCTTGCTATTAATTTTGATTGGGAGTAATGTCTGGACTATTTAAATCATTTTTTTTTTATATTCCAAACTAATCATCCAACTCTGAATTCCTCCTGTCAGTTTAAACTTCATTTCTCAGCATGAAAATTATAATAAATATCAATAAAATTTAATATTTATGATTTACTATTCAGAATTGAAAATCTAATTATATAAATTATTAACAACTCCTTCTAGTTTGGCAATATTAATAATATTATCAAATATAATTACACTCAATGAAATCTTCTAAATTTAGGTTATGATGCAATTTTTGAGTTTAAGTATTTGATGTTATTTCAAATTCATTTTTATAGATTGATATACTTAATATTAGATTTAGAGTAAAAAAGAATGAAGTGTGTAGATTTGGAATTGGTAATTTCATATAATTTTCATTTTAATTATTTTAACAGTTAGTTATGAACAAAGCATTTCAAAGAAGTAATGATTAATAGCAATAATAGAGCATTCTGACAATAGTATTCTCAAAGGCAAAACATAGCATCACACTCAATAGCGAAGTCCCTTAAGTACAAAAGAAAATGATACCAAATTCAAATACCCTGAAGTTCTTCGTCGAAAAGAATCTAAACCATTATAAGTGCAAACTAATTAATCAGATATGAGATCACCAAGTGCTTAATCAACATAATCTCCAATTAATAGTAATAATTTTAATATATACTTAAGAGAGCATTCTAATTACTCATCGATCTCAATCAATGTTTTAAGATGCTTAATATATAGATTATATTATCACTAATAAAGAAGTGAATTTATTTCTTAAAAAACACTTCCTACATGAACATATGCATACTAATAGTTCAAGAAATACAAATACTAAATTAATTTGTGATTCTTGGGATAAAGTCCCTGTAACTTATTTTATTAAAGCATTATTTGATGAGTATCCTGAAATAATTGAGGATCATCATTTAAATGAAAAGTTGAATATCAAATTGAAAACCCTAATAAAAGACTTGATTTCTGAAGATGGATAACTTTTATCATTGAATAAACTATAAATTCATACACGTCATTTAGGATTGTTAGGATTGTTGCTGACTGCTCTCAGAGACATTTAAGATGCACCTACTGTAAATCATAATACTCCTCATAATTAATCTATCTCACATGAATAGGATATCTCAAATACTTAATAATAATAATCTAAATTTCATAAAATGGCTTCAGAGATAACATAATCAGCTGAAAATAGAATAAATGAATTGGTAAATTTAAAATTACAATAATTCACAATCAAATAAAAAGAATTGGAAAAATAGATCTAATAATTAAAATAAAAAGCAACTGAAAATTTTGATTTATTCTAACATGAGGCCAAAAATAAATAAGTGATTACTAATTTAACTTAATAATTATAATAGAAAGATTAAATTATAGCAGATCTAGAATAAAAATTAATTAAGAAATGGATGAATTCATCAATAGAAGAAGAAACTCATACAAATAAAATTGCATAACCAAAAGCATCACCAATCAAAATTTAAAGTCCAAGCTAATCTCCTTTTAATGATAGCAACCAATATTTATAAAGAATGATTAGTAACTTATGCACTGTCTGGGATCTAGGTTGTGTTAATGAAGATTATAGATTTGCTTAAATTCTAACAGCACAAGAAAATAATTAAATGCCTTACTAACATTTTTAACTAATTCCAATAATAAAGACAATTCCTGGCTTTAATGATTTCATTTTTAAATCATAAAATAACAATCACATCATTACTAATTTTATTTAGAATTGCATGAATAATGATAATAATATTATCTTAGATTTATATTATGAAATTATTACTTTACTTCCAAATTTTAAAATTAGTGATCAGGATTAATATTTAATTAATGTAATGTAATTATTTCTAAAACTAACTGTTTCAATTTTATAGATCAAAAATGTATTCAATATCAATAAATTAAAAGAATGGGGATCTATTAAGAGACAACTTACTGAATAATAAAATTAATTTGTTAAGAATTTAATTAATTAGATAGTTTAAATTAATTAATATAGTATTAAATAAATACCTCAATCAAAATTATGGAATCAGTAATAGATTTATCATGATTAATATGTTTCAGAATATAATAATAGATTGATTGAGAATCAAGTAATCAATAATATATTAAAAAAACAATTAAATTAGATACATAATAAGTAGAATACAAAGTTATCTCTTATTATTAGGATTATTTAATGCTTTTATTATAATGATGTTGAAGAATTAATTGGTTTAATGTAATCAATTTAAGGTGAAACAGATATAGATATCTATTTATCAAAACTAATACTAGATTGTGATTGTATCAACCTAATATTGTTCCCTAGTTTGTTTAATCCTAAATATGTACTTAAATCAATTACAAACTTACTTTAATTTAAATGTCCTGGTTAATTCTATTTATTATATACTAAGTAAGTATGCTAAATTAGAAATATTGATTTATTGATCGAATTATTAACTAAAATGCATAATACTATGAATTCAGATGTTGTTATTAAATTATGGGATGTGCTTGGTGCTATTGCAAAAAGTGCTGCCTTAAAAGAATGTAAAGAAGGTCTTCAATTTATAATAAGATTATATTCGAATTCTCATCAAGCAACAATATTACATAATATATAATAAGTATAAAAAAATTTAGCTATCCCAATCTGATTTTATTTTCAAATATTATTAAATAAATTAAAATAAAATGAGTATTTTGAATTAACACTAATGTACATTTCCACATCTCTTAACCATCATTGATAGTATGAGAGTTTATCATGAATCAAAATTGTGGAAATAACTCAGCGATTAATTATTGATCTATATTAAGGATCCTTAAGTCAATCAAGGAACACATTTGAAAGATCTTTTTGAAGGATTTGTTAAGAAATTTTATCAAGAGATTGATGAAATGAAATTAGTACGTTTTCTAATTAAAGCTGCAGAATAATATGGAGATTTTTAGAGCAGAATTGATTTCCTAAAATAATTTAAATTAGATGAACAACCTTAATTAGTCATTGATATTTTGATAGCCTTTTTCAAGTTATAGTTGGGGAAATTATAGGAAGTGGATGAATTATTAAAATAATATAAACAAGCAAGTGAAAAAATATAAGAAGTTGATCCACTTGTTTATTCAATGTTATATTATTTGGCATACAATTTCTACAAAATCAAAAATGTATATGAAGAATTCTATGTGAATGCCTTATAATATCTAGCATACACTAACGATTAGGATATGTTATAAGAGCAAAAGGTGCAACTCTCTTATGAAATGGCACTTGCAGTTTTGATTTCACCAAATATCTATAATTTTAGTGAATTATTACAACAACCAGTATTAGTTAGCTTAAAGGAAAGTGCTCAATATAATTGGGTCTATCAATTATTAGATATCTTCAATAGGGGAAGTGTGAGAGAATTAAATAGCTTTTAATGGAATGAGGAGAGAAAAGGAGTAATTCCAAATTTCTAAATATTAAATGAAAAGATTAGAATAATGGCATTTCTTGAATTAGCATTTTCTTTGCCTAAAAATAATAGGGTTTGTACTTTTGAAGAATTGGCTTAAGTATCAGAGTTACCCTTAAGTGACATCGAAAGATTAGTAATGAGAACAATCAGTAAAGGGTTGGTCAAAGGAAGAATTAATTAAGTAATATTATTGATTAATAATTATAGGTAAAATAAACAATTACAATTTCCTATGTAGTTCCAAGAGTTTTGACTATGGATAAAATTGAGATTATTAATAAGAAATTTGGTAATTGGGAGAAATCATTGAATGTATTTCTTAAAGAAGTTGAAGATGTTAGGAAGACATTTAATTGACATATATAAATATATAAATCGTTTAATTATTTCACAATTATGATTCATAATTAAAAAGGCTATAATTTTGATAGATTTATCAATATATATTTAATAATTGGTAGATTGATAATGTTTAACTTTTAAAGAATATAAAAAATAAATAAAAATAGTGGAAATAATAAAGTCAAATTTTAAATTTAGGTTTAAGTGAAACCTTTTTGGTCAAAATTGTATTAATATTTTCTTTATCATGACTTTGATCTTATAATGAATAGCTTTTATTTCTTAATGGTTATTTAGTTATTAATTCTATAGAATAATTTGGTTTTTTTTTTAAAGGAATATATGTTGAAAGGGGGTCACTAACACTATTAGAAACTTATTGCAATTTTTCTTTGAGATCTTCATTTGTGATATTCAATTATTTAATTGTGGTTTAATTTTCTGAATGAATCATTTTAAGTACTGATATTTCTTATGCATAATTATCCAATTTTTTAGAGAGAGATCTTCCAAATTAGAATAATTATGTATTGATGTTAGAGATTGTTTAATTTTAATCTAATTTCTGAGTAATTTGACGAATAACCCATGAACATAATTATTTATATTCTGTTAAGACTGATTCTATTAGATTACCACAATGATAGGTTTTTTTTGATAGACAATTTTATTGAGAACCACCACTTAAAAATAAGAAATGATATATACTTATAGGGTACTCTAAGAGGAGTAATTGATTATTCAGATTTACATATTGCTCTGCAATTATTTGAGATGGAGGAAATACTAGAAAGAGCTGTTTTCATATTATTCGTTAAAATAATTAATAAAAATAAATGAGTAGTAAATAGATTAAGGCTATGATCATTAAGAATTTTAAAATCAGTTTCAGAAATGGTGAACTTTATTAAGACATAGTTATTCCAGTATTTGTGGCTTGTATGTTGTCTCTGAAAGGTATTGTAATTATATAGAATATAGAACAATTAAGTGCATTAAATTAAATCCTTCCTCTTTTGTATAGTTTTGCTGTTTTGCCAACTGCAAGATCTATTATGGTCCATTTAGTGGAGGAGAAGAGTAAGAAATACAAAGAATTGCAAGGAGTAAATTAGAGTAAATATTCTATAGATCATGGGATTGAATTAATCATCATATAAAATTGGATGGCTCTTAACTGGATATTTGAGAATGACATTAGCTCTGATTGCCTTCTTCTTATTTCAAATTATTTTCAATTCATTAATCTAATTAGACTGGGATTTTTATTACATAAACTCATTTGCTTAATTAATGTGGCCATATATAGTTTATGGATATGCTGTAAATCTAAATCATAATATAGTCAATTAATTAATCCTTTTTATTTGCTTCTGTAATGAATGAGTCAAGAATTGCAGGTGAAGTGGCTACTTTTTTTTGTGTTGGATTCAGTTTTTTTATATTCTTAACTTTTATAGAATAAGCAGCTACGTATAATTTATAATATTATTATAGGTCTATTTTATTCTATATTTTGGTAGGACTAATGAGTCCATAATGTAATATAGGCTTTGAATACATAACAGCCTTATAAGTAGGAGTTAATAGAGTAGGTGCTAGTGTGGCTTGGTTTGACCCTATTTTGAAATAACCAATGAATATTTTTCCAGTAATTCTTATTAATGAAACCTACGATTTACAAGCATCAGGTTATCAATTAATAGTTACATTATTCTTGTATTTATTCTTAGCTCTTTACTTCGATTAAATAATACCAAATGAATATGGAATATCCCAGCATCCATTATTTCTATTAGGAATAAATTATAAAGAAAATGTAAAAAAAGGAGAATGTCTCTTGTCTGAAAGATAAAAAGATGCTACATCAGCTCATTATTATGAGAATATGCGAGAAAATTTAGAACCTTCCATTTATGTAGATAATCTTACTAAATCTTTTAACAATAAAAATGTAGTCAACAATCTCACACTCAGACTCTATGAAAAATAAATCTTTTGTCTACTTGGACATAATGGTGCTGGCAAAACTACAACAATTTCTATGTTGACTGGATTAATAAATAAAAGCAAAGGCAAGATTTAGATGTATGACATGAATTTTGATACTTAATTGAAAGAGATCAGAAATCACATAGGGTTATGTACTCAATAGGATTGTTTATATGAATACTTAACAGTTAGGTATTTTATAAATTTTATATAGAAAGAGAGCATTTAAATTTCTTTGCTGAGATTAAGTAATCAAATAAGAGTGAGATTGATGAAATACTAGAAAAAACAGAATTGAAAAATGAAATGAATTAAATAGTACAGACTTTATCAAAAGGAAGTTAAAGGAAATTAAGTTTGGCCATATCTTTAATAGGGAATTCTAAAATTATATTTTTGGATGAGCCAACATCTGGAATGGATGCTTTCTCAAGAAGATAAATTTGGAATATATTATAGAAGATTAAATAAGAAGAGAGAACTATCATTTTAACTACACATCATTTAGATGAAGCTGAAATATTAGCAGATAGGATAGGAATCATGTAGAGAGGAGAATTATTAGCAAAAGGATCTTGTGATTTCATTAAGAAAACTTTTGGAGAAGGTTATACCTTAAATTTAAGAAAGGAATCAATTAAATATTAAGATGTTTCTGAGATTCTTACTAAAGGCAAGATTATACCTGAATAATGTCATAAATCTTAATTGACTTTTTAGATATCTTTTGAGCACTAGGATAAATTGGAAACTATATGCGAAAAATTAGAGAATTAAGGAATAGAAATTGATTTGAGATTAAATACTTTAGAAGAAGCTTTTGTGAAAATTGGAGAACATGAACAATTAGAATTAAGCCAATCAAATACCAGAAAATCTATGAGTTTATAAATTATAGAGAATACTGATGAAGGTTATTAACAATTCATTGAAAATGTACCAATGAGTGTTAGAGATAAACCTATATATAGTTTGTGGAATCAATGTTTAGCAATGTTCCAACGTAGATTCTATACAACTATTAGAACAAATACAAATATCTTAGCCTTTTTCATGCCTCTTCTTACTATTTTATTGGGGTTATTGGTGGCTAAATTTGTTTAATTTTCAGGAAGATTATCAAGAAATGATGAGGCTTAATTATTTCTAAAAATTTCAATACTTGCTTGTGTGGGAGTTGTAGGATTTACATTTAATTCAACTTTATATGTAACATTACCTGTACTTGAAAAAGAATGTTAATTAAAAGAGGTTATGATTTGTTCTGGTTGTAGGATATTTGGATATTGGTTGGGTACATTCCTTTTTGATTTTATTGTGTACTCCATTATAATAGTTTTCTTTTTAATTATGGGTGCAATTTTAAGTTTAGAAGCTATTACATCTTTTTGGTGGTAAACAGTCCTTATATATTTGTGTTTTGGATTAAGCTATATTACATGCATCTATTTGTGTAGCTTTTTGTTTGATAATGTAGCAAAAGCAATGAAGCTTTTTGTTTTTTATTCTTTCTTTTATGGCTTTTGTTTACCAATGGTTTTATTGGGATTAACAAATTTTTTATATCATTTAGATTCCATTTACTTTTTTGAAATTTTAGTTTATACATTTTAGGTTATTTTTATGGTAATTAATTAATTAAATTATATAGATTACATATCCATTTTACAATTATTATTTTGCTTATGCTTGTATGCCTCATTTAACCAAAGGTCTTAAGGCTGAATTAGGAGGATTACATTTAATTACATATGAAAGCTATTGGTATGTGATCATGCTCATTTACTAATTCTTTTAATATTCTTTACTCATTTATTATCTTGAAAGGAGAAAAATTTAGAGGAACTTTAAATTAAATCCAGATATTACAGATAAAAATTTAGAAGATGATGTTTATTAAGAATAGTAAAAAGTTTTAAATGGAAGCAATGATATTATACAAGCTATATAGGTATTTAAAAAATATTAAAATTAATAACAATTTGCTTTGAATAATATTTCTTTTGGGTTAAAAGAGGGTGAAATAATGGGAATTATAGGACCAAATGGAGCTGGTAAATCTACTTTAATTAATGTGTTAACTAATATTAGTTAAAGTACATATGGAATGGTAAAAATATAATATGCTGATTAATTACATGTAGGAATTTGCCCATAATATGATTGTATATGGGAGAATCTTACAGTTAAAGAACATTTGCATGTTTTTAGTAAATTAAGAGGATTATCTGGTCAGAATCAATAAGAAGCAGTTACATATTATTTATAAAATGCAGAACTTTATAATTTTCGAAATACTAGAGCTGGATAACTTAGTGGAGGAAATAAAAGAAAACTCTGTGTAGCTTTGGCTTTAATTGGAGGCAGTGACATAATTTTTTTTGATGAACCTACTACAGGAGTAGATCCTATTTCCAGGAGAACTCTATTCAAAACATTAAAATAAAATGTATCAATAAGAAATTGTTCTGTTGTCATAACAACTCATACAATTGAAGAAGCTGAGAATTTAAGTGATACACTTGGAATTTTGATAGGTGGATAATTTATATGTTATGGAGAACCAAATTATTTGAAGGAGTATGTTTAAATTTAATATTTAGAAAATATTCAGATGGATATTATATATCAATATTACATAATGAATAATATGAAGATAAAGAGATATTGGAAATGTTAAAAAAATAATTGAATAATATTAATTAAATTAAGGAGGTAAGAAAAAACTATTTAACAATTAATATCAAAATTATAAGTTTTCATTCTACTTTTAAATTGCTTAATTAATTAAAATAGTAAAAAATTATATAAGAGTTTTCGATTTCAAAGAGGTAATTATTAAAAATATATATTAATTCTAGTTCTCTTGAAAATATTTTTGTCCTTTTTACAAAGCAATAAAATGAAATAAATGATTAATTGGGTGTTAAAGTTGAATGAATATTTTGCTCTAATTTATATATTATTTAAAATAAATTATAAAATGAGTGAATTTTTTTAAAAAATTACCAATTTTTGTAGAGGTAAGGAAACAAAAGAAAATGATTCATACAATGAAGATTAGAAATAAGATTAGGAAATATAAAAACAAACACAAATTTAAATTTAAATTGATGATAAATTCATTTAATCAAATAATTCTCTATCCAATTCTGAACTATTATAAAGTACAAATTTTAATGCTTAAGAGAATTAAAATATGAAAAATCCTCAACCTTAAAGGTATTTGAATCACCTTGTATACATAGCCCTAAAATTTAAAATTAATAGAAATAGCTTTTTAACTAAAATTAAAGTGAGAATTAGAATTTAGAAAATTTGTTCTATTCTGTATAAATCCAATAGAAACCTCAAAATTTTACACCCAACTCACAATCAAATATTATCAAGAATCAAAGCTTTTTGGAGTAAAAAAATCAAAATTTAAATTATATGGAAAGTCAAATAAATTATTAATATCCTTAAAATAGGATTTAATAAAGTACTATTACATTATCTCCTAATAAATGTAACTAATAAACCTAAATTAATAAATCACTTGATTATTAATCATCTTACATATCAAATATATCAAATTAACAATTTAATAATAAATATATTAACTTATAGCCTTATTATCAAGAAACTTCTAATAAATAGCACTAGAATTAAAACATTATAGATGAAGAAAGTAATAATAAAAGTTTTATTTTTTAAAAATTTGATTAACATAATAATTACTAACCTAATAATAATTTTTAAAATAATTTTAATTAAAATAGTCAATTAAAATAAAGTAATTAAATTTTCGATTCTTTTAATTCTTCATAAGTTTTAACTGAATATTAGAGTTGTTAAGATGATTTATAATCAAAAACATAAACTTAATAAGTTAAATGTATATATTGTAAAAAGGAAATAAATATATAATATTTTTTATTAAAATGTTAGCATTTTTATTGCTAAGATTGTTTGAAAGAAATTTTAAAAAATTAATCAAAAAGAGATGATTGTTATGTTTATCGATGTATTTGTTTAAAAGAAATCAAATTATAATTATTATTTGAAAAGAAAGATAGATAAGTTTAAACTTTAAAAGAGAAAATGCTAATAAATTAGATAAATACACTTAGAGTTAATTTAGAATAAAAATATTAATTGAAATAGTGTCGTAATAAACATTGTTCATTTTTTACAATAATTCAAAAAGATTTAGATTAAAAATATTTTTATTGTCCATAATGTTTAGATAAATAAAGTGATAATTCTTAAAATAAATGAAATTTAATTGATTTCTATTATAATATCAAAATCCTAAATTTTATAATATTAAATCATATAATTATTTAGCTTAAGGATCGTCATACTTTAATGATTATAATATCTTTTCTAATCTATCATCAAATTATCCTTTAAGAAGAATAGTAATTTTCAGTATTATTCTTAACTTCATTAATATTATTTCAATATTTTTATTTTTATCAAAAATTAACAAAAAGTCGAAAGCCTCTGAAACCATTTTTGAAATATGTAAGGCATTCTAACCACAATCCAACATCCTCAAAAGCACTTCTAAGAAATTTAACATTAATAATGGTTCTCTAGTCAATAATAATTTATGTTTAGATTATGAATAAATCAATAAAGGGAAATAAAAATGTTCTGTCATTTAATGAAAACGATTAATATATGGTGAAACAATTTAAAGTCCTTCATAAGCTCTTTTAGTGTGTCCCCATCTTCTAGATTATGGAACTGGTCTAATTTTAATAACAGATTGTTCTTCAGTTTTATATGTAGTGCTAATCTATTTAAAATAAAAAGAGTCATTTTAAGATTTATCAAAATTGTTGTAATTTTCTAATTGATATTTATTTGGATTAGATGAAAGTTCTATGGCTGATTCTCTAATAATTTTCAATATATAGATTCTTTGCATTATTGAAATTTCTTCACTAAAATATACTTCAATTAAATGATCAGTTATTTAAGATCTCATAATAGATAAAGCAACTAAAGCTTTAATTCTCATTTCTTCTTGACTATTTTTCCAATCTCTATTTAAGATGAGAATGTCACATAAAGTTTATCCATGGATATGTAGATCTAAGCTATTTCTAATGAGATATGGAAGATGTTTTAAAGCTTAATCTATTCTAATTTAATCTTCACTTCTTAATGCAAGAATACAATCATAAAGATTTTTTAATAAAAGAGGTTATTCATTTTCATAATTATCTATTTCAAAATCCTTAAATAAATATGATATTTTATTACATGAAATTCTTAAGTAGGCTATATAATTTGGGTTTAATTTTCTTATTTAATAATTTCCTCTTTTTTTGTTTCATTCCATACTTCATCTACTTCATCATCATTTAATTCATCAAAACCATCTTCTACTTCAAGATTTAATGATTTAACAAAAGCTTTCCATACTAAAATTCCACATTTTCTTGGAATATTAGCCTATGTATTTAATCTTTTTTAAATTCCATCATGTATTAAATCATTATTAAATCCATCGTTAATAAATAAAATAATTAAATTACTACAATATAATTAAGTTTTAAATGATGCATTTTTAATAAAATTTTTATTACTCCAATTAAGTATTAAACTATCAAACAAATCTTTATGTATAATTGTTTATTTAGATATATCATATAAAATAGATTCTGTGTTTTATTTTACTTTAGCATTTAGAGCTAATTTTAACAATAATTATGAATTTTATTTTATAAGTGATAAATATTTAATGTATTAATCTAATTTATTAAGAAGAATATATTTCAGAAATTTCTTTAAGTATAATGATTTAACCTAACTAATTTATTCTTCTGTAAGACTTTCATGAATAAGTTCATATTCTCCTAATATAAGTAATTTTTCATAAATAAACACTTTTTATTATTATAGTAATTTATTATAAATCTCTTCAAATTTTATGTATTTACCTTCAGTGAAATTTGAACATAATCTACACAACTATAAATATTCAGTTAGTTTTTCTTCAGTTGAAATCTCAGGAAAATTTTTGATATAGGATGTTTCAAATAGATTATAAACTTTTTCAATTTATAAGTTGTTCAATTTTCTCAATTTAAAAATAACATTCTTCCAGAATTTGAAGCCTTCCTCAGTTTGAGATATCTCATAAATTTTGTTAGGAATATCATTATTTTCACCATTTAAAAATTATTTAATTTCTATAATCATTATTTATAATTTAATATTATAATGACAGCATCTTTGCATATCCAATTTTATCTAAATAAATTATTGAATATTTACAAATTATTGTAAGGATCAGCAACAATTATATATCATATAATTAATGGATCAAGAAAAAAGGTTGAAAATGATTTTACTAATTTAAAAGATTAAATCCATAAACTATTATATTAGTTAAGATCGACAGTTTAATAAAAAGCCAAATATGCAAATGTTTAAAGAAATGTTGACTCTATTAAAAAAGATATTAAAATAACATAGAAAGTTTATTAGATAAGTTGAATGAATTACTGCGAAATAATATAAGGATAAAAATGTATTACATATTCATATGTTAAGAAATACTCTGAAAAAATTATACGAACTAATAAAACAATCTAATTTAATTATAGATAATAAGTTTATGATTTATAATAGTAGTTAGATCTAAATGCTATTATTTATTAATATTAATAAACCAATAATAGTTTAGGGCAAGTGAGAACTTTAACGAATAATTTAATGGATCAAGATGATAGAAAACTTCCGTCATTACTATACATGACTTAAAATTAAAAAAGATGTAATATAAAGATGGAAAGAAAATAATAAAGAAATAGATTAATAATTAGATATTATTATTGATGGTACTAAATAATTGAAAGACAATTCTTAATAGATTGGACAAGTATTTTTTGAATTGATTTATATAGAAAATTGACAATACAACCTATTAAATTGATAATATAATTAATGAAGTGGATGAAACAAATTAGGATTTAAATAAATAATAAAATTAATTATAGAGGATTGTACAAAAATATAGATAACCAAATTAGTTTTTTTTAATATTCATTCTGATTGGATTATGTAGAGTAATCTATTTAAATTTAAACTGAAAGATTAATATATGAACCATTTTTTATAACAATTTATAATGATTTAAATAATATTATAAAATAATTATAATAATTATAATTTATATTGATTAATTCACAATTTAGACTTTTTTAAATGAGCTGTACTATTAAGCAACAAATAGTCTACATTGTCTTTTTAATATGAAATTACATTAACACTGCAATAATCAGCATTATTTGATATAACTTATTTTTCTAACATATTTACAGCATGAACTCCATAACCATGAGTCACAACTAAAATGTGTTTATTTTAGAAATACTCTCTCATACGTTTATAATTTTCAGAAAACCTTCCAAAAAATTCTTATATAGATTCAGGATATTATTGAATGACTTCTTAATAAGGCACATCTAATAAGGGATATTATTTAAAGACATGATCATAAAATTAAGAGGATTTATAATAATGCAATTCTGATAATACATCTTTTTCAAACCAGTCTTATCTAAAACATTCTCCTAATCCTTTTGCAATATATATTTAAATTTGTTATTCTAATTAACTTGCAATTCCAATTATAGTTTAGACACATCTCAAATAAGGTGATGTAACCAAAATAATATTTTCAATTGATTGCTTATTAATTTTATGCATATTATTACTAATTTCAAAATATTTCTAATATATTTTCCAGTTTTTTTAGCTTATGATTCTCCATTTATAGATAAATGTGGATCAAATGATAATATAATTCTTTATTTTTCAGCATTTGTACTATCATCTGCTCTTTCACCATGCCGAATAAGAAAAAGCATTTATTTTTAATTATATTTAATTATAAAGATAATTTAATTTTTATATTTTATTACATATAGATATAAATTCTTGATAATGTTAAATAAATTTCAATGAATGATAATATTATCATATATTTAATCAATATTATTTTATAATTCCTTTGTATAATTTATTTTCAATTAGTATTTTTCAATAAATTAATTAGGAGTCAATCCAATAAATAAAATTGTAAATGATACTTACATTAAATTCATGAGCATCTTAATTCCTAGATAATCAGCAGCTTTTCTAATCAATTATCTTTCAATATTGTATAATTATAATGATTTAAGAAAATTTGATTCTATAGGATTAAGAAAAGAATCTAAATCAGTATTTGGAATTGGTTTTGGAATGACTGATGGGTTTTCTGGTAACATATCAATTAAAAATTAATTAATCTTCATCAATATGTTACTTTAAATTTCCATATCTAAAATATTAGTTGTTTATTCACACTCTAATAGATAATTGATAAATATTACCATAAATATGTTCAAATAATTAACTATATTTAAGAAATGCCTCTATATTGATGGTAACAATTTAATTATCAGTAGTTCTAATTTACATTTAAAAAATAAATAAAAAATATACAATAAATGTCATCAAATAAGTTCAGCCATATATAGTTTAAAATCTTAAAATGGTAACTAATAAAATAAATGTAAAATATACATGTTTTTTTTATAATTTAGCAAATTCTAATTCAATTAATTCTTCTTTTACATTAATTTATTATATAAGACTTTAAATAGTTATATTACCTTTTCTATTAGATAATATTCTGAATGTATCTTTAAGATTATCTTCAGTTAATAATGATTTTCTATCTATTAATGCAAGTATGTATTCTTATATTTCTATTTCACCATTTTCATCTTAATCAACATTAGAAAATATTTCACTAACTACTTAAAAGGCATCTTCATAATTTTCATATAATTTTTAGTATGCATTCATTAATTCATATTTTGTTATTTTACCATCTTTATTAGCATCAATATCATTAAATGTTTAAAAAAGACTAGAAGATTATTCACTTAAATATTAATTAGCCATATATTAGAGGATACAATATTGAAGTAAACTCAATTTTTTAAGTTTTCTCATATTTTATAAGTCAATTTTGATTTTGTGTTCGAATTTCTTTTTTTGTTTTATCATCCAATTTGTTTTAGTTAAAGATAATAAATCCATTCTATTTGTAGGACTAACCACTAGAATATTTGATAAAAACTCTTTGGCTTCAGAGGAAATTTTATCGAATTGTAAAGATGACATATCCAAAATGCCTCTTCTTACATCAGCATATATTTTTTAAACAGTTGTTCCTTTAAATGGTAAGAAACCTGTTAATAAAAAATGAGCAATTACACCTATAGACCAAACATCTCTTGGTTTACCTTTAATATCTTATTCTTTAAATCCTTCAGGTGATATATATGGAGCATTTAATATTGTAATTGGTTCTTTTACGAAAATACTTTTAACATCAATTAATTTAATGGTATTTTAATCTTTTTAATCATTTATTGCAAAACTACTCAATTATAAGTTACCATGTGTCAATTTATGTTAATGCAAATATAGAATAACATCAATAATTTATTTAATTATTGTACCAGCTGTTTCCTCTAATATTCCAATTCCATCATTTTTCATATATAGGATTCCTCCTGTATAATTTTCAAATATTATTTTATAAGTATCTATATCTTCATAGATATCAAATATTTTGATTAGATTAGGATGGTTCTAGAAATTATTTTATTGAAATACTAAATTATGAGTTAATAATTTATTGATATATTCTGTATGCTCAGGAACTGATTTTGGTAATGTTTCTACTATTCTAATTTTCCCATTCAAATTATTCTACACAAAGGATTAATTTGCATTAACTAAATTTAGAATTTAAATTTACGGTTTTTGCTAGGGACTTTTTCATATATAACAGAATAGTGTTAGGATATTGCAACTTTATGTAATTTAAGCAATTATTAAGGACAATTAGAAGTTTATGTTAATTTTTTTTGAGAATAACTGGGTTTTGGTAAGTTAGCTTTAGGTGAAACTGGAGCTGAAGCAGATGGTATTTTTCTTTTAGATTTTTTACCTTCAATTTTAGGATTATTTGTTTGATTGGTTTTTGGAACTGCATGACATGATCCCATCAAATAAAATTATATAACTATTATTTTAAATAAGAAAATTTATTCTTTCAATTTTTTTTGATTATTGTATCGTAATCTTTTTTTTTATAAATTTTTAATCTATATATCCATTAATACTTGATTCATTAATATCTAAATAATAAAATCATATTATATTTTATTGATATTCTAAACATCTAATAGTGTGTTTATTTGCCTTTTATTATTAATATTGATTTTTAAATTATTGCAATTGATCGTATAAAATTAAAGTGTTTTTTAATTTAATTAAGTTATTATGGAATTGGTTTTGGATGAGTTATATTTCAGAAAATTAAAACTTTTTAAAATTATTATTTTTAACTTTCTACCTTAAATTCAAATAGTTTTAAATCTAGAGTTTTCTAATATTTTCAATTTTTATTAATGTATAATTTGACAATTAATTTAATTGAACTTATATAAAATTGGTGTAGGAATGTTAATTTAAATATCTATCTAAAGTTTTAATCATCATTTAAAGAAAATATTATTTAATATAATTATTATTATCTATCTATGTTTATTATGATAATACTTTCTATGCAAATAAGTACTAACATGTATTATAAATTTATATCATTCTTGTTTATGTTATATTTGGATTCTATAAATTAATTAAATCAAGAATGGGTTCTTGTACTTAGAAACTTAAAAAAGTTAACTTAGAAAATGCTCAAAAAAGGCAAAAATTAAAAGAAATATAGATTCAGAATTAAAAATATTAATAAATATAGAGTTAAGAATAAATTTAAGAAAAGAGAAAGAAAAAAATGATCATGTAAAATGATCAATCGCTGAACATTCATAATTTCATCTTGATTTAAACATGTAAATTGTCGAAAGTATACTCTATTGTTTCCAATACCAATAAGGATAATTGTATTTAAATTTAAGGCAAAGGATTAAAAGAAAATATATAAATAATGTAAAATAATCTAACTGGGAGGATTAGAATAATGGAGACATTAAAATGGAATGATAAAAATACATAATACTATATTGATAATCTTATGGCAAACCCTTTAGTAATTTTGATATAAAGAATTTTAGTCACATCCCAATATCTCTTAAACGCATGAGATGTATTAGGATGACGAATCAATTCATATAATTCATGATTATTGCAGTGGAGGAAGTTTAAGTAGTTTAAATTTGAAACAAGGTTAAGGAATAGATGAATAAATAGCTTTAAAAGTATTATTTTAGATGATAGAATCTATGAATTATCTTCATATTAAAGGATTCAATCATGGTCATTTGACATATAAAAGTTTTTCAAGAACAGACGAATCAGAAAACTACTTTATTAAACTCACAGATACAAAACCAATATTTATTAAACCATAAATAACATTTGAATAAATATAGTTTTTTGCTCCTGAAATAATTATTAATGATGAAGAATATTCAATAGCTAGAGATGTTTGGTCTATAGGAATCATATTTTATAAACTTTTAACTGGTAATTTGCCTTATGTGTCTACTCAATTAAACAAATTAAAATTAGAAATACGAAAAGGTATTATATAATATAATGATTTATAATTTGATAAGATTTCTTAAAGATCAAAAGATTTTTTAAATACATTACTTTAATATAATCCATCAATAAGATCAGATCTTAATTCTATAATTAAATCTCCAATGTACAGAAAATTAGTTTCTTAAACAAAATAAGTTAATAAATCATCTACAGGAGTATTAATGAATATTAAACAAGCCAATATTATTTAATCATTATTTTTATAATTTTTAGTTAGCCAATTTTGTTAAAATTAATAGAATGAAATTTATTTAATGTTCAATAAATATGATTAAAATGGAGATGCTAAATTAAGCAAAAATGAAATATTTGAACTATTACATTAATAACTAAGATCAAAAGATTAAGCATAACAACATGTTGATTTAATATTTAAAGCCATTGATACAGATCATAATGGTACCATAGATTGTAATGAATTTATTAGATGTATTGTTGATAGATAAGCATTAATTACTACTCCTAATTTAAAAGTTATATTTAAATTATTGTCAAATGGTAAAGGATCAATTCATAAAAAACGATTTATGCAATGTTTTTCAGTTAATTAAAAATAAGCTGATGAAATGTTTGCTTTAATCACTAAATCAAAGAGAATCACTTTTAAAGTATTTTCAAGAACAATGATGGAACTTGTTTGATAATTAGTTATATATATTTTATATACTTTCATTTATTATTTTAATTATATGGAAGAACCTTTAATTTAGAATGAGGAAACAGAATCCAAAATTCCTAATGAAAAAGTTATGACAAGACTTATAAAAGGTGAATTTAGGTTTGAGAGAAGATAATACATATTTTTAAATGTAAATACTGTCAATTTAGTAATTTAAAGCATAAAGTAATTAGGTTTTAACAATTTATAATTTGATTGGTCCCATTAATATTGAAGCATAGAAATCATTAATATTTTATGAAGATACAAGAGTACCATTAAATGATCAAGACTTTACATTAATGAATTTATTAAATGCTTTAATAGTTGTTCATTTATTGAGAATTTTCACTTGTTTATTGGGTTTCTTTAGTGTATCATAGGTAATGAATTCTCTTGCATAGAACAGAAATCTGGAAAAATAATGACTTATTTTATGATCATGTCAACAGTTTGTGTTCTATGTAGAGGAATAATATCCTTATTAATAGTGTTAAATTATACTACAATAAAAGATACTTGTAATTTAATATTTGGTGGTGGAACTGATGATATAGGATAATTAATGGCTATGTAATTTTTAGTAGTATTGATACTTTTTGTAATAGCAGAAATATTGCTTGCTTTGATTTCATTAATATAATGTTCAAAAACTAAAGAGGAATATAGAAGTATATAATATATATGATTATAATTTTAGTTTGGATTAAACATAAAGAGAAAATGATGAAGAATTATGAATTGTGTTATGAAGTTGCAATATGTTAATTAGATGAATGATTATTAAATATATGTAAGATATTATAGTTTTAATATATTTTAAATTTATATTTATATTGGGATAAATAAATTTCATAAAATTAATATTTAATTTGTATTCGTTTCCTTTTTTTAATATCCTAAAATAATGGGAATTTGTAAGTCATAATTGAAATAAAAACCAATATAAGGTGAAGAAAACACATTAGGTGGATCAAATGGTATAGTTTCTATTCATATTAATAGTTCCTGCAATAGCTACAAGTAGAAATTCAATGGCTAAAATTGTAATAGGTAATACCTAATCTATACATAATAAACTTAATCTCGAGATCAAAAAGGATAAAAACTTATATGGACTTAATTCTCCAACAGTTTCCAAAACACCATAAATCATACCAAAAATTAAATAACATATTTTTGATTTACAAACTGGGTTTTTTAAGAAATATTCTTCTTTAAAAGAGAGATGTATAATATCTAAATAATAATAGAATCTGAATAAGTTTTGATATGTCAAAATAACATCACTGGATAATTAGTTAGAGTAACACTTTTAGAAATAGATGATATTTATGATTGTAACTTTTTTTAAAAACTCAAATAATACAATTAAGTATTTTTTTTAAATAATATCATAGAAATGCTAAAATATTTGTTAAATTATAGAAACTTATAAAGAAAAGAATTTAATTTATTTGGTTTAAGAATATTGTAAAGGAGGTTCTCTTTATAATCTAATAAGAAAAAAACCTTTAAATTATTAATAAGCATCTCTCATAATATAGCAAATAATTATTGCTATAAATTTCATTCATAATTAAAATTTATCTCATTGTCATCTCACATTAGACTCTTTTTCAATTTCAGATCCAAAAAATCTATTAGTCAAATTGTCTGATATTAATCCAATTTTTTAATCAAATTATCTTAATAATATTGAAAATTAACATTATAAAGATTAAATTTTGAAATATTAATCACCAGAAAATTAACATAATAGTATTAGTGATGTTTGGTCTATTGGCATGATCTTTTATTAATTATTAACAGGACATATTATAGAAATAGATAAAAAACCAAATGGAACTATCTCTATCAATTTAGATTCAATCATTTCAGAAGAAATAGAAAAGGAAGCTAAAACAATTATTCTAAAAATGTTAGATATTAATCCTTAAACTAGAATTACATTACAATAAATATAATAGCAATATTTTTTAACTTAATCAGTCAATTCAAGTTCTCTATAATAATGTATTGAAAATTTAGCTAATGTTAAATAAATGTCATATTTCTAAAGTATAATTCTCTATTATATGATGGTTTTATTCCATACAGAAGAAGTATAAATCTTGACTTAATTATTCGATGAAGCAGATAAAGATGCAGATAATCTATTAAATAGAATAGAATTAACTAATCTATATAAAATTATTATACCAGAAGACTAAGATTTCATCAATAAATAAATAGATAGAATTTTTCTGTATATGGATGCTGATTAAAGTGGTTAAATTTCATTAAATGAATTTATAACTGCTGCAGCTAACAAAAAAGATCTTCTAAATGATGATTATCTTGAAAGTTGCTTTAAATAATTATAAAACTAAAAAGGTGGCATCAGTGCAAAAAGTCTTAAAAGAAAATTAGAAATTGATGAATACCTATTAAATTAAGAAATCAAAGAACTTACTTATGATTATGTAATAAATTATTAAACAATTAGATTTATTATTCATAATTTAAAGAGATCATGTAAGCCCTTGTTTGAATTTATAAGCTATATATATATATATATTCTTATTTTAATAATTTATTCTTTTAGTTATTGTTAATTTAACATATGGGATTGTGCTCATCCAATAAAAATCAAAAACCTATTCAATAATCTTAATTGATATTATCTCAACCTGATCAAAGTATAATTGTATTGAAGTATTTCTAGCCAATTTTAAATAATCAGAGACTCAACTGACAAAACAAACTAAAACTGCTATTCCTTCAATAATGGCATTCTAGATTCCTAATTTAATAAAGGAAGACATAGATCCACCAACACCTTAAAGTTTCAGACATAGTTTTAACATTATACCAGAAATTAAGAAGTCGCTTGAATTTAAAACTGGCTTTTTTAAAACTTATTCTGTAATAACAAAAAATTGTAAAAATAAATAATAAACCAATAGAGGATGATAATACTCTTATTTGTCAACATAATAAAACTGCTGAATTAGTGTTAGTCTATTGTATGGATCCAAACAACATTTAAGATTAATAATTGATCAAATCAATAAAATTAAATTAAAATGTAATTTAAAATATTATATATTAGGATAATAATAACATATGTTTATTTATTGAAATATTTAATGAAAATAAAACATTATACTTAGTATAAGAATATTGTAAAGGAAACAAATTATCAAAATTATTAAACTTAGAGAGATCTAAAATAATATTCATTATGTCATAATTAATATAAGTCTTAAATTAATTGAACAAACATAACCTATATCATGGAAAATTAACTATAGATTCATTTTCCTTAGTTGATGATTAAAGTTATTATGTTAAACTTACAGATATTAAACCAATATTTCAATAAAATAAAAATTTAGAAACATCTAAAGAAATGGATGAATAAAATACTTATAAAAGGTATTAACCTCCATCTGAACATCCATCTATAAAATCTGATATATTTGCAATGGGCATAATATTTCATTAATTATTAACTGAGAAATTACCAGAAAAAATAAAAATAATTAATAATCAACCCATTTGGAATCCATTATTAAAATTTTAAAATGAGAATGATGAAAAAATGAAAAAATTATTAAAATCTATGTTATAATTGGACCATGTAAAAAGAGTTTCAGTTTAATAATTAACTTAAAATAAAATACTCTCTATACTTAATAATTAAGATCTGATATAGGAAATATTACAGAAGATTTCAATTTGTCCTTCTCTTAATTATTTTCAAACAGCCATTTTAACTTTTATGATCTAAAAATTTTAATCTTAAGAATTCAAAATTATCAAACAATTATATCAAATTTTAATAGAAAATAATGAAAATTATTTATAAGAGAATCAATTGGAATAAATTTGCAGAAATTCTAATTTAAATAAAGTGGAATTCGAAATTGAACATCATGAGACTTATAATAATAATAATCCTTTATAAAATAATAGTAAAAGAATTTCTGAAAAGGATTTTTTGATTGCATTAAGTAATAGAGATAAATTATTAACAGAGGAGAATCTAGAAACAACTTATAACTAATTAAAAAATTCAAATGGTTTATTGAGTGCAAAGTCAATAAATAGAAAAATTTATATTGATTAAAAATAATTATTAGATGATATGGAGAAAATATCATTTAATGGATAGGTATTATAATACATTTATGATTTAGATAACAATAAATGAATTCAAGGACATTATGTAACTTTTGAAATGAATTACACTTTTTAATTATATATATATATATGTTATTATCACTATCTATATATTGATGCTCTTAAATAAAGAGAGGAGAGTAAATTTATATTATTTTTAAATGATAGTAATCAATAGATCATCTTTAATTTTATTTAAAAGTGATCATTTTGAGATCGATTGAAAATTAGATTTTTAGAGACAGACTTGATTAATATTAGTATTCTAATCCTTTTAAGCAAGTAATTGACAAAAAATGAGATGTATCTTATTTAGTAAAGTGAAACTTAGTACTTGATTTAAATTAAATAAATTACGACTTAAAATAACGCATAACTTGGTTTATTAGATAATAAAATAAAAAAATTCAATAATAATTATTCGTTATGGGTTCTTGTAGCACCAAAAAGAAAGAAAAAAAATAATAAGAGATTATTGTAACCACCTAATTACCTAATGATAAACCTAGAATTGATAGAAAATAATAAAAGGCTTAAACTATAACACCTATTCTTGCTAAGACTAATTTATCAGATACTATTAATGAGTCAGTTATTTCAAATCGTTCAATAAATAAAGGACATGATAAATAGAAAAATCAAATTTAAATAAGATCTGGACTTTTCAGAGTTTATTCATTATTTGGAAACAAGTTAGATTCTTTTTAAGAAAATATAGAAGATAAATAAATAAAAATAGTATAGCATAATGTAAGTGGAATTAAAAAAAGAGTTGAAACTATTGATAAATTTGATACTTGTGCTTAAAATTGTATCCAAAAAATCTAGAAAAATAGATTGGTATTTTAAAATTTAACTCTAGTAAAATGAATATATCTGTCCAATTACTAATATTTATGAAGATTCAGAGAAGTATTACCTGTTATCTGACTATTGTAGTGGTGGAAGTTTAAGTACTTTAAAAGGATAATTAAAAGATAGTTAAGTGATGATCCTATTAAATTAAATGGTTTCTGCTATTGCTTATTTGCATTAAAAAAAAATGGTTCATGGTAAATTGACTTTGGATAGTTTTCATTTATTAAGTGATTTAAATAGTTTATTTTGTAAATTGGTTGATGTAGCCTGTTTATATTAAGGTAATGAACAGGTAATGATTGAGCCTTCATAAGAAGATTACTCTTAAGATGTTTATGCTTTAGGAATGATTGGTTATCAATTATTAACTGGATAAAAACCTTTATATATTAAATAATAAGAAAATAATGAAAATGAAAATGAAATCCTATATTTTAATGAAGGAACTTCACCTTCATTAAAACGAATTTTAAAAAAAATGCTAGAAAAAAAAATAAATGAAAGAATTACAATGGAAGAAGCAAAAAAATAATTATCTAAAAATGAATAACGTAATAATTATTCTGAGGTTTTAATAAAACCATTGTATTATTTATCATAATGTAAGCCAAGGAATTATTTTCAAGTTGTAATTTTGGCTTTTATGCTGAACAAATTCAATCAAGAAGAAGAATGTATGTTATAGAAAATATTCAATGATGCAGACCTTGATTAAGATGGATTATTGAAAAAAGAGGATATTCTTAGATTATATAAATCTATAGTTGAATATGAAAGTATAAATGTTGATATTCAACAACTTATATAGAAATTGGCTATAACAAATTAAGAATCCATAGATATAAATGAATTTATTTCAGCATCATTAAATCTCGAAGACTTATTGTCACAAACCTATTTAGAAACTTGCTTTAAATATTTATAGAATTAAAGAGGATATATAACTTGTAATAGTGTCAAGAGGTATATTGAGATAAATGAAAAATTATTCATTTAATCTTTAGAAGAAATTAAAGGTCAACATAAGGTATCTAATATTCATTTATATTTAATAGTTGAATTATCCAGAATTTACAGAAATAATGAGATAATTGAAGTGATTCGAATTATTGATTATAATAGAGTTTATATTAGATTATTATTACTTAATATATAAGTATGGAAAAGGTTCTTTGTTAAGATTTTCATAAATAAAGTATAATTACAATAAAAATATTTAATTATTATGAGAGTAATTTCACAAGATTAATTCTTAAAATAAGATGAGTTTGAAAGTATAATTATTCGTTTATATTCATAAAGAATAGTGGATTCAACTTATTTTTATTGAAAGAGAAAATATCTTTGGATGAGAATATTAAATAAATATTAATAATCAAAGGTCTGATTGTTTACGTCGTTAAGGAGAGAGTCTTCTTTAAACAATAGGATTGAGTTATATTTTAAAAATTTCCTTTTTTCTTTCTTATTAAATAATTGGTCTTATTTAAATCATTTTTATTACCTAGATGCAATTCCATGAGATTTATTTTCTTGATATGTAGTATCAGCAGATTCTAAATGTTACCTTTTGGTCTGATTTTATTATACACATCCCATTTGAATTGGCTTATTTAATTAAATATAAATGAATGATAATATCTTTTTATCATAATTATTATCAATTTAATAATAAGTTATTTATTAAATGGTTTGGATTGAAAGTATATTGGGAATATTTATTTGAAATAATATAATTTCAGTAATATTTATACTGATATTCTGTCTAATTACAACCTTAAGATTATGGTAATAAAGTAAAAATGTAGATATAGATTTAAGAAATTAAGTAGTTATAAATATATAATATTAAAATATTTAAATATTAATCTAATAATTAAACAATTAGAATAAAAAAGATATAACAATCATAAATAAAAGAAACACCTTTAGAGATTAAATTAAATGATCAAAATTTATACTACATATATTATTAATAGGTATATATATATATTTAATAAATTAAAAAAAATGTTAGAAATTTAATTTAATATGTTAATAAAAATTAAAAAGAATGACGGTAATGCATTTGAAAATTTAATTCATTTTTTAATAGCTTGTATGTTCTATAGGAATTCTTTACATCTATTGATCAATACACTATTATTTGCTCCTAATGAAGATTAAGTTCTTTGATGGTTAACTAAATGTTATTTACTTCTTTAATCTGATATACCTTTTTACATTAAATAAGTTTAATAGTTCATGCTCATAGCTAAAAAGAATATATATAGAATGAATACTTTTTTAATGCATTTATTATTATGGTTAGGGTATGTTTGATTATGTAGAAATATTATGATCACCTAAGAAACTATTGTCTTTGGAGATTTTCTTACCATAGTTAAAACTAGAATTAGCTTTATCAGAGGGAACATAAAATGATGTGCTAGTACCACTAGTAGGCATTTTGGCACTAATTCTCTTTTATGCAGCAGATACATTATTATTTAACTATTAAGGAATTTAAGATTTTATTTAATTTGAAGAGGCCTAATTTAATGTAGTATAAACACTAACTGAAGGTGGTCTTTATTGTTAAGTTGTACTTTATGGTTTTTGATTAGGTTAATTCCAAGGAGAAACTATTTATTTTTTAGAAATGGAATTATCTCGTTCCATTTTATTAATTGATATATCAACTATATTTTTCTATTTTTAATTTTCTTTATTCATTTCTTTATATAATTATCCACTAATAAATTCTTTGCTCATATTAACATTCTATTATGACTACTATTATTATCCTAAATAATCCTTACTACAATTTGATAAGTATTCTTTCAGATAATTTTATGAAACATGTTAAATGTTAGGATCTTATTATTTTATAATATTTTGTTCAATAGGAAGTGTAGAATTAGAAGGAGCATTAGGTTTTTTTGATGCTTATTAAAAACTTTAAGTTCTTTTCCTTTCTTATTAATTTTGTTCTATATTTTTAAAGGAATTCTCGAATTTATTTTCATATTTAGTTTCATATTTCTTACTAATTTCTATATACAATGCTTCTCTATATTCTTTAATACTAAATTTCTTATTATCATCCATTGAGATTATAATTGGATTTGTAGTACTTTCTTGATTATTGTGATGGAATGCACCAACATAAGGATGTTTCAAAGCTTCTTCAACAGATATCCTTTGTGAAGGATTGAATGATAGTAATTTACGAATCAAATCCAAAGCTTATGGAGTGGCTTTAGGAAAGTAATTAGTAAATCCTATTCTTTATCCTTTAGGAATATTGTTTACAATCTAAGAAGCTAGAGGTGCCTAAACACTTTCTAATTCAGAAGTTGTAGGTCTACCTATAACTTCAAGTACTCGCTCAATTTGATTGAGAGTTGAACTACCAGGAAATATAGGTTTTCCATTGATCATTTCTCCCAAGATGCAGCCAACTGACCACATATCAACAGCTTTAGTGTATTATGTAGATCCAAGTAATATTTCAGGAGCTCTATACCATCGAGTTGCTACATATTCAGTCAGAATGGCACTTTCATCAACTTAATTTAAAAGACTTCTAGCTAATCCAAAATCAGCAACTTTAACATTGCATTCTGCATCTAGTAATACATTTGATGGTTTGAGATCTCTATGTATGATTTCAGCAGAGTGAATGTATTTTAATGCTTTGAGTATTTAATAGATTATATATCTAAAATTAAAGTTTAAATACTTACCTCTAATGAATTTCTTCAAGGATTCCACCACGTATTACAGCATGGAGGTCTGTTTCCATGAAATCGAAAACAATATACAGATCTTTATTATTATCAGCTCTATGAATATTAGTCATTCGAATAACATTGTCATGGAGCATCTCTTACAAAAACATGACTTCTCTAAATGTACGTTACGCATCAGTGGCATTATGAAATGCATCAAATACTTTTTTGAGAGCTACAATTTATTTTGTTTTTCGATCTATGGCTTTCCAAACAACTCCATAAGCTCCTTTCCCCATTTTCTATAATACCTCGTACTTCTGAATGATGTGAGACTCGATTTCTTCGGTCATTTTAAAAAATTAACTGTTAAAAATAATTATGAAGAAACATAAATCCTACATCAACTACGAAGTCATAATAGATAAACCTACTTCAATGATTAAAATGTAATATTAATAAATCTTATATGAGAATGTCAAATAACTTAAATGACAATCTTTTACAATCTCCCTCTAATAATTCAGTAGGTACATTTACCTCTAATTTAGAATAATAATTGAGATATTATCTATTTCTTGCATTTCTAATTGATTGATAATGATTTACAATTAAATTACAAAAAGATTATGATAAATTAAATAGTGAATATGAAAATCTTATAATTATGAATCTGAATTACAACCTAAAATTTTAAATGAATATCTAAACATCTATAATAATATTTATACTAATAAAGCAACATAATAATAATATATTTCTTTTTTAATTTGAGTTAAATATAAAGTAAATAGAATCAAAGATAAATTTGATAATCTAAGATACTTATGATAAAACAATATTGTGTATTTATATGAATTAAATTTAAATTAGTGTCTGTAAAGAGAAATATGAAAATAAAATACTATTGTAAAGTATTAAGAAATATACAATAATGATATAATTAATCTGTCTTAAATTCTTTATGATAAGAATGAGTATAGAAATAAATATTTTAATAACTATTTGTTGAATGACAAAGAACTAAAATAAGAGAGAGAATGTATCTAAATTAATTTATGATTGAACTTATAGTAATTATATAAACTAACTATTAGAGTCAATGAAAAGTTGAAAAATAATTTATGAATTAATAATCAAAGAATAAATCTCTCCCTCCCAAAAAAATAATTCCTAAACACAATGAACCCAAAGATATTGAGCATTGTAGATAAGCTATCAAACAAATCATTGGTAATAGTGATGCATCTCATAATTAAAATTATCATAAATCTGCTGATAAACATCTTTAACAATCATAACAAAAGAAACATGTACATTCTACAGTACAATAATATAATGAAAATGTTGGCAAGATGTTTACATCTACTAAGTATGGAGTCGCTTATATGTAAAAAAAAGTCATGCATAATATTGATTAATTATGATTTATTTGATTCATATAATAACTTTTCTATTATAATACTCAAACTTATCTCTTTCCTTTTAAGTAAGTTTACCATTTGATTTTTACATAATGATTTGGTTTAAATTTAAATATTTTTAGATACTCATTTTTAATAATATTGCAATTAAGTATTAATCATTTTATTCTTAATTTTATTTACTCCCCCCATCCACATAATTAATTACATATGTATTCAAGTGATTTTCCTTAAAAATCCTAACAGGAAATTAATAGTATAAATAAATACTTTGTTTAAGTAAATTTTAAATATGTCAACCAATCAATCTCATATTCGATCTTGGTAATAAATCCTTTCAGACATTTCTTCATGTATGATCTAGTTGTCTTTAGGTTATATTTGTGTTGAATTGATGATGTCTATCAATTTGCACTTTCTTAATCTACATACATCTAAAACCAATGTAGCTGCATTTGGTATCACTTGGATGATAATTACAATATTGTTATTACCCTTTGGAATAGGTATCATAAATTACTATATTATTAAAGGTCTTAATCAAGCATTAAACACTCTAGCATCTTAAGCTATTGGAATGGGAAAAAACAAACTTTCACTCATCTATTTAAATTTCACTCTTTCATCTCAAGTCCTAATATTTATCCCCCTACTCTTAGTGATATTATGTCTCAAAACACCATTTAGCTATTTGATAGTTGAAGACAGAGAAGAAACTATAAATACTGCATGGTAATTGCTATAAATGAATAACATTTAGGGAACTCATGATACCATTATCAATGACTTCATTAGCATTATTGATATTTGAGAGTTTGAAGAGTTATATGATATCATGTGAAGTGTTTAGACCATTCATGTTAATTCATTTAATCACTTTGGCTCTTCATGCCTTTTGGTGTTGGTTATTAGTCTCAAGTTATGGGACCATTGGAGTATGTATAGCTACAATTATCTCTGAAT